TTAAAGGAACAGCGTGTAATATTTTCATTTTTAAAATAAAACTGTCCCCTAATTTGGCCAAACCTGCCTGGTGTTTGGTAACAATCTCTCATACAGTTTTTCTCACTCGCTTTGGTGCATTTTTTACATCATTCTTCACATTTTCACAACTGTTGGTGCATTTCTCAGAACAATTAGTGCAAACTGCAAAATCTCGTGGAAAACCTGCAAAAGTGCATCACCTCCTCAAAATGAAAAGGTAATTCCTCAGAAGCAAGTCTTCATGTCAATGAAACTGTCTGTGTCGTCAAAATAATAAGTCCTGACATCGAACAACAGTAAGTAAGTAATCTTTTATTTATATACCGCCTTTTCACTGCAGATCTGAGTCTCAAGGCGGTTTACAATTGTTAATTTTTTGGGCATTTGTCTCTCACTCCAGACAGAGATGGGAGTGGGGTCGCCAGTACAGGAAGCGCATGCCAGAACTATTGGACATATTTTTAGTGGTAGGGGAAACCGGAGTACCCGGAGGAAACCCACGCAGACACAGGGAGAACATGCAAACTCCACTCAGAAAGGCCATGGTCCGACCGGGATTCGAACCCATGACCTTTTGTTTACCTAAACAGAGCTAAACCATTTTCAACGGTAGTGAATGGGTAAAAGTTTCATGCGTCACTTCCGGTGCCAGCGGAAGTGACGTAGGCGCGCTGCTCTAAAACGGAGAGAGCCGGCTTTCTCCATTCATTGTGGATTGCACACGCACTCGGTAAGTCTCCTCTGATAAACACAATGTTTTTGTGCCCGTTCTTTATGTTTCACTCCATAAATCTCTCATATTGTGCGTAGATCGTTCACACACGTCTGTAGTTTAAATCTCGAGTGTGTAGTGCGCTGTTTATGATTGTTTACCTCCGTGTCATATGTTTGTTGCTGCTGCTCGTAGATCTCTTTGTTTGGATCAATATTGTAAAGAAAACACTTTCTCTGCGTTGTCAAACAATCTGTATTCACTGTATTCTACTGTATACAGTAATGCAGTTTGTTTACGTCTGGTTGTAGTAGTATTTCCAGCGCTAGTTAATGCGGTGTTTTGGGATGTACACACGTGAGCTAAAGCACACTGTATACAGATCAAATGCACTTTTAATAAGCTTAATGCACATAGTTGTTGTAACAGGCTGTGTATAAGTGCTGCTGTGAGTTTGGCTCAGTGTTGTCACTGTGCTCTTTCTCTGTTCACTTACTATTGTCTCATAAACGTGATTTATGGCTAATAATGTGTGACAGGCATAGTACTTTTAGTCACATGATGCCAAAATAAGTGTATAATACAGTTTGCTCCATCTGTTGTACTGTAGTGTACAGTATGCTTATCGTTGATGTGTGTACTATCTATATGTATTTCACATTTCTATAGTTCAGCAACACATTGAGTTGAAAATGAATTATATGCAGTTAGTTTACGACAATGTATTAGTGTTTTACCAGTTCATATTTTCCTTCTATAACTGTACTTACTGTATCCCAGAGCCTCATGCTGCTAATGTCCAGATGTAAACATACAACTGTATATGTCTTCTCTAGATTATACAGGATTCATGCTTCTTTATTATGCTAAATTTAATTATTTTATTCTTTATTATGCTAAAGATATATACATTATACATACTTCTCTATCATGCTATAGCTAGATATTTTATGTTCTTTTTTTGTTGTTGCAGACAATATGAAGACATTTTCATTCTTTCCTGGCCGCGTCACTGTGATTTTTCACAAGGGCCCACGTGGATTCCTGCTGCAGGACCCTTCAGAGGAGGCGAGGGAGATCAGGGACGACCCGTCCATGAGGGAGTGCGGTGCTCCTCTGAGGGAGGAGGTGGTGAGGGAGAACGCCCTCACTCCTGTGTGCGAGTGAGAGGAGGTGATGCCTCAGACAAGGCTGAAGTGCTGGGGGAGTACATCGCTCACAGCAGGCAGTAGGACCAGCACAGCGCCTGTTGTCACCATGCCCCCTGCAGCAGTGAACCCCCTCCTCCTGCTCAGACTCTCATGTCACCGCTGTCTGAGGAGGCCATAGAGAAGGTTTTGCAGCGGATCTTGGAAAAGCAGCAGCAGCCTCCAGCAAATAAACCCCACACAAAGAAATGCCTGTCCTGTGGCCAGCCAAAATCCAAATATGAGGGCGATGGCAGCTCCATCCACGAGTTTTACCAGCCGGGTCCTACCAGGTATTTCTACTGCTCCACCAAGTTCTATAACACCGATCGCACAGAGGGTTTGACCAACTCCAGGATGCCATTCCGAGACTTTATGGACACTGAGTTCTACCAGAGAGAGCTGGAGGCCACGCAGCAGAGAGTGAATGAGCGGCAGGAGAAGAAAAGGAAGAGAGATGAGTCTCCTGCCACTGGGAGAAAGTGCGGGTTCTGCAAACTGCAGCTGAAGCAGGGACCAAACAGTCCTCATGTTCATACACAATTCCCTGGTCTGTCAGGGAAATACATCTACTGCCCTGCCAAAGTATTCTCCCTGTACAAGGACCAGGGGATGGAGACTCAGATGTTCCAGCAGTCTCCTTTTTATGACCGGGAGAGGGAAAGGTGGCGTGTAAATAAATGAGCTATCTGCTGTCTATTGGTGCTGTTGTATATAGTTACTATATTATACCTGTCTGTTCATAAATGTTTATAAATATTCTAATTATTATGTAAATATATACTTAATATTGATTACAAATGAAATTATATAATTAGATATAAAGTCTGCATCTACAGTTCTGTATAGTCAGCTCTCAACCGTCACAGTCACAGGGCTCATCACACAAATACTAGTTTTTAAGAAGATAAAGATAGCATGTTGTTGTTTTTCTTCTAAGTGTATTTCTTAAATTTTTAAATATCTCTTTTTTCATCTGTTCACAATAAATATATTATAATGTCATACATTATTGAAGTCTTTCTTTTTATTGATCATATTTCAGGGCAAACAACAGTAGTATTTAACAAAACAATCTGTATAGAAAATAGAGTTTCAGTTCAGTGTCAGTGGGATCAAAGCAGCTATTGTTGAACTTGTTCAAAGCACCCCCTGCAGAGTTCTCACCTCTGGGATATTCCAGGTGTGTTTGTCTAAATCCCTTGATCAACACTTTTCCCATCCTGAGGAGGTGTGACCTTTAACCTGTGTGTGAGGCCTTTGGGGATAAGCCTCTGTGATCTTCACACACTCACACTTTGTGCAGGTCAAAAGGTTTCATGACATTGCTGTTAATATTACTGTCAATTCACTGATCATTTCAAGTTTTACATTTCAAAGAAGCTCTCTAATAGTTACATTTATGTACTTGAAAGGTAATGTGGCTGTTCTTAAGGTCAAAATGAGACCCAGTTATTAACTTTAAACTTTTAATTAAGTTTGATTTATTTGGGGTGAGACGGGTTTCGAACTCGCGTCTGTAAATATCCCTGCATTTTGATTGGTTGGACTTCATCACAAAGGCACGTGGCTGACAGGCTCATTCTGATTGGCTGGCACGATATGCCCACTATACGCGGCTGGCCTCTTGGTGAGAGGCGAGAGTGCTATCCACTCAGCCACCGTGCCGCCCAGTCAAATGACTTAGTCACGTTTTCATTGTGAAAGTTTACTCTCTCTGTGTTTTCAAAGTAAAAAAGTCAGATCCCAGTTACACATGAGCACGACTATGAGCACACTATACACAACCTATATAGTCATTAACAGTAAAAACTACAGTAAAGTTACACAAAGACTGTATTTAGAGAGGTAACTGACATGTGTGTATCTATGTGTGTACTTATGTATGTACTGTATGTATAGTATGTATACATACACACTGTACATATACTGTTTGTCTTTCACATATTTACTGCATATGCTCTTTGCAATTCTACAGCATTGTGCAACAAAAATACAGTCACTTACATGTGTATAGTATATACATGTAAGTGACTGTATTATATACATAAAACAAACATACAAGAAACATCATTATGGTAGAACTATATGACAAAAATAAACAATAAAACACACACCTCCTCATGAGTAAATGCTGAAATTCACCTGAGAGAAGTTGTTCAATTTAGGAAAGATTTACAGGAAAAAAACGACAAAGGAATGTATTAAATTAGCTTGAGAAATATGATTTTGAGAACTAGTTCAACAATTTTGTATGTGATGACTAAAGCGATGAAATTAGGACTATTGGTTTTATAGGGAAAGACTATTCAGAAGTCATAAGTATGTTTCATTTTGACTGAGAAAAAAAAAGAGGTGTATATTCTGGAGAAGCACTGAACGACGGCAGGGCAGGCTATATTGGATTAGAAAACTAAACAGCCCAGGGAAAAATGTTCAAACGCAGTTGTCCCTTCCCAGAAGAGAGTTCTATGCAGTTCTATTCATTCCCCTTTGAATAAAACGTGTAGAGCTGGGCCCACAAGAGCCAGGCCCCTAAAAGCGCCTCATATCTGTATGTCCATGACAGCGGGCCCCTCGCTCTGTGGACCTCCTCAAGGTTCAGTGTCTCCCACTGGGTTTTTGAGTTTTTATTTGCCAATGCAGGAGGGTAAGACAGTGACCCTGATCCGACTGATGTTGTGATCATGGACGACACATTAATAAATATATTTGATTTGAAGCCAAGTCTCCGAATGTGATCACAGTTAATGGAATGGCTGTGGATGATGGGATGTGTTGCTCGGGATGGGTTGCCCGGGATTGAAGGAACCCACGGCCACAAGGTGGCGTCATGGATCTATAGTGGCGTTTCTTTTGGGCTCCGGTTCTCCTGTGCATCCCCCTAAATCGCCCCCGTGTCTGGCGGAACCATGACGCGTATGGGACAAATCCCGCTGATCTCAGAACACTACTCTGTGGACTCGATCGGGACAGAGTACTGGGTCTGAATCAGTACTGACGGCACTGCTGGGACACGGAATCGGTAGATTCTTCAGTTTGAGTCTTCTCATTCCCTTTGGGAGAAGATAGTGTCGTAAATGGCAGCACAGGAGACACAGAACCCAACAAGTGGGGATAAGTCAGACGATGATCAGACGGCCAGAGCGGTTTCTCTCGCCCGGCTCCTGCACCAAGAGAGCTCCCTGCTGCTGAAGCTATTTGTAAGACTCTGGCTTTTATTGGCACCAAACATACCCGCTTACTCTTGATAAATGTACTGGCATGTGTGGCAGCTAGCATGCCTCGTTAAAAAATATAAAGAGGCAATTGTTTGTCGAGGGGATTGTTTGATGCTGCTCCCACTTCCTCTGTATTAAACTATGAGTTTTTTCTTTCGTACTGCTGTTGATTAGAATTACTACTACATGTGTTACTGCTCATTGATAATGTCAATGCTATATTAGGATAGTAATAACGTGCACATTGCTCTTCACAGAAGGAGAAGGAGTCGTTCTTTGAGGACTACACCCCTGATGGTGGTCGCATAGTGTCCCTGAGTGCAGCCTCAGAGGAGCCCAGCACTGAGGAGCAGGTGCTGCTGCTGCACTCAGGACTGCGGCAGTGTTTGGGGCTGATCCACTGTGTCATACTGAAGGAGGAGGAGGAGTGGGGAGACTTAGAGGGAGATTATGAAAGTATGAGGAAAAATGTACATCAGCGGCTGGGGTACCTGCTTCATACCACCAAAGCCTTAATGGAAAATGAGGAGACCATTCTGGAAGCCACTCCTGACCACCAGTGCACGGAGGTATGCAACACAAGCATTCAGAAAGAGTCTATAATCTTTTTGCTCAATATTTTTTTGTTTTTGTTTACAAAAATAAATCGTGTCAACTATTTTGTAATAGGATAAATTGTCACTCTTATTATTGTTGTTTTGGTATTTTCACTGTTTGGTACCTTCAGTGAGTTGTTTTCACTCTCGTCAGTAACTGGACGTGCACAAAGAACATCCCAAACACCCACTATACAAATGATATGCCAGTTGCAGCATTCCATTTCAACAAGCAGTGCTTTCACAGAACTTTTGCTGAACTAGGATAAAGGGGAACATCACCAATGACAACAATGAGATTCTGAGATCCTTTGAAATTCGAACCATTACGTCTGTAACTTCTGTAACAAATATACACATTTTCTTCTGTCTCTCTTCTTATACAGGAAGTCGATGGTTCTGCCGGGGTCTTTGCGCTCAAAATGTGGACCTATAGGGTTTTGTTGGAGCTTGTCCACTGGGCTGACCATGCAGCCAATACTTTGTACAAACTCCATTCAGAACGGGAGGGAAAATTGCTAAATTAAACTCTGCAACACTGAAGTAACTAATGTGATACTAACAACCAGCTTTCTTGTTAACTATTCCAAATTGAAATCAAGCTATGGAATAAATGGTTATGAATGCTTGCCGTAAGGAGAAATGTGCTACTTACCAAATGTTAAAAAAGCTCCTTGAACAAAGCCTTTCAGCCAGCTTGCCAGACATTGGTATAAGCAAGTGCTTTCCCCCAGTTACCTGTAAAGGTTTTTTTTTTTTTTTTTTTTTTTAACTTAAAACTTTTATTGTGGAGTGGCTGTCTCAGGTGTTCAATTTCCTTTTTTGTAAAATTGTATTTATTTTTATTTATGTAACTTATACTAACAGCAATTGCATTATATTAGAATGTAGCCAAAATGTGACTGTTATACTGTGACCCACATACAACAATGTCTGTACTCTTTACTATTTCACGTCTTATAGCTTTAATATGCCTGCGTATTCACACACTAAAGGTATTTATTCCAATCACTTTAATATTAGACAAATGAAAATGGAATTGTTTAGTGCAGTCTAAGAATATAATATCTATAAGCTGCTCAATTTCTTGTAATGGTGTATACTTGAATGTGCTGCTCCACTGTCGTGTGTGTGCATGTGTGTGTGCTTGTGTGTGTGTATGCGTGCCAGCTGTGATAGTGTGCACACTAATTTTGTAACACTGTTGATGATTCTATTTTGGTGAGAGAAAACAGAATGTGTATCAAACAATAAAACCAAGAAACCCCTTAACATCTCCAGACTTTATTTAATAGAAATATAGGGGCCTGAGAAAGTTTGGACACAATTCTTCTATTAATATGAACAGGGGCAGATGATAGATGAGGGGCAGAAACATCTCAAAATGTTACAGATGTGACATTCCCATTATGTCCTAGTTTAATTGTTTTCTTTTACTGCAGAGGGCTTTCTGTTTAGGTCTTGAGAAAGTCCAAGGCTTGTGTTTTATTGTATTTCAGAGTAGATTTGGATTTATATATATTGTGTATAATAGTTTTAGGTAAACTCCCATCTGTTGACATAGTCACACTCCTTAATCAGCCTGAACTTTTGTAGCTACATGTTTTAGTAGCAGAGGAAACCGGAGCAGCTGGAGGAAACCTACGCTAAAACAGGGAAAGTGTGCAAATTCCACGCTGAAAGGCGAGGCAAACCAATTAATATTTGATTATTTTGCTTTTTGCTGGTGAATTATTGTCTGTGTGAATGTCTGCAACTAAACCCTAAAGCATGATGATCCACCCCCATGCTTCATAGCTGTGTGAAGATATTCTGCGCTTTTCCGTCTGGGTGAGTTTTGGAAAGACCCAAAAAATTGAAGGAAAAAAAGGTGAACAAGCAATGGCCCTATAACGTTGATCAAATGATGGGTTACTGTTGACTTTTCAGTGTGAAACTATTACTCTGGCAATACCTTTAATGTTGTTTGGAAAATGTAAAAATGTGTCATTGCCATCAATATTTACAGTCAATGCTGTAACCATCAGGCCATTAGATCAGGTCTACAGCGCCGCCTTGTGGCTGCTTCTCTTATACCACGAACAATGTTGTTGCCATTCGATTGTACCAGCTCTTTACGGTCTCATTATAGATCAGCATCCATTCGATTTCACCAGCGATCGGAGAAAAGGTACATTTAGGTTCCAACCAGAGAGCTCCAGGAGCTTGATGGTAGATGTTGTACACATGCGCATTGCTGCCTACAGGAGCCTGAGAGGCAGGGAAGGGACTCCTAATGGCGGAGAGTGTGCGGTCGCCTTTTGACTACCGGGAGCCCCCGACCCTCGATAGCGACGGAGATGGCAGCAAGCCGCCGCCGCGGGGGTGAGTGCTGCCCGGGGGTGGATGTCTCTGCTGCGGTACTTTACTCTGCACTTCTATGTGCTTATTTTAGCGCGCTTTAGTGCACGGTGTCATGTAAAGATGCAGAAAAACAAGAAGCAAGAAAACGTCTTCGGAATTCCGTGTGTTTTGTGCAGTGGTAAATGTTTAGCGACACATTTCCATGTTCCATGTAGCCCGTGGTTAGTTTTCCTGTGACTGGAGCAGAAGCAGGAGCAGAAGCAGGAGCAGGAGCAGGAGCACTGGTGCTAACCACTGGAGCTGTTCAGCTAGCCCTCGGCTGTGATCACGTTTGCACGTTACAAGAATGTGTCTGATTGTTCCAGGGCTGTTGGAAATATTATATTCGAGCAATATAATAAATATATAAGTGCATGATCCTCCACATTTCAGATTTGTCCCCTATGTATTTCCTGAGGTCATTGTGGTCAGTTTTTGGCTACTTAGTGAAAACATTGTAAAGTAGTAATATGTGATGCAAAAGCAATCACTAAACGAAAAAACTCTAATTCGCTGGAAATGGACGCATTTCCTCTTATCCTGTTTGTATGCTAGATGGCTGTATTGTAAACTGCTTCCATCTCCGTCATTTTTCTGCACCTCCGGCTGTCTTTTCAAGCATTGGACAACTTTTTATTTCTATGGTTTAACTGTCAAACATCACAAGTGCATTTTTGTTTCCATACACTTTGACAGTCAAGCTGCATAAAACCAAATTTTGTAGTGCCATTTCTGTGTACTAAAAGCAAAATATTCCATTGAGTACTTGATTGTTTTGAATGAATTCCCTGAGCCAACCTTTATTAGTCGTCTAATTGATCAAAAGGGTATTTCCTTGGTTGTCCAAGATTTTCTTTGCTCAACTAGAGCCCAACGTCCGGCATATTTATTTCTTATTCAATGTTTTTTGCACATACAGACGGGTGTGTGGGAGGAAGAGGAAGGGGACCCCCGTGAAGGTGTGTGAGCGGGCCTACGTCACAGAAGATGAGGAGGAGAGCATGTCTGAACACAGCTACAGCCTTGGTAGGTCAGCTGATGAATTGGATAAAAAAGGTGAGGCCAATAATTGTTCAACATTGATACATCACTTCTCTTCTGGGTTCATCTCTCAGGTGAGGGCCAGTACACAGAGGGTGCACAAGACCGCCTGGCTCCTCCTGGAAGTCCTTACTACCTTCCGGATCCTACCCAACTTTGGTAAAATACTGTCGTAGATTAACACAGAGACGGATCGTGGTGCACCAGAGCTTCTGGAAGTTTATTAGGTTTCCTTAAGAAAAAAGTCAGGACATGGTTTATAGTAATTGTTACATCACAGATACGTCACACATCGAAAGACACATACGTGTCGCATCAAGAGCCAATCAGAACATACCATAGTCATAACATGGATACACAATCAGAGTCCTTGTAGAGTCTTGCGTTTGTCCACCTGCGTAGGCAATAGCTATCTATCCACGCTACTACTTTCTGAAATAACAAAAAATCAAACTTTTATGAAATTTGCTCTCTTAAGTTTTTATTATCTCTGTATTGTTAGTGTGCCAGAGCTTGGGGAGGATGGAGGTGCTGGAGTGGGTGGCCCTGTGCTCTTTCACCCGCCTCCAAACTGTCGCATTCGAGAAGTTTACTGTGGCTCCCAGGTACGGCTGGTTGTCATAGCGATACGTGATATCGCCAAAGGGGAGGAAATCACAGTTGACTACAGTCTCGGCGACTGGGGCGACAATCCAATGGTAAGCTCAAATTGGCTGTAAAATGTGCATATTTTGGGCTATAGATTGAAAGGATAGATGCAAGATTAATCAGTTGTTTAGTGCACATTGGAGTAGGATAAAGCCATTGATGGAGAATGTTTTTGTTTTCTACCATTAAAAAGACATTTACCAAACTCCATAAAATCAAATTTCACAATCCTTTACATGTGTTGAAATCTGTTACAGCAGTTAACTATTTATCAATTATAAAAATAAATATTGATTATTTAGAAAACCTTGATTAGTTACTAATGGTTAATACTCTAGTAGAAAAATATAGAATTAGATTTGTAAATGAGGCCTTTATGAACATTTTTTGATGAGGGGACAAATGAGGGAACTGTGGCATGCTTTAAGACTCTGTTTTGTTTTCATTCAAGTATCGTTAAAATAACTTTTTTTGTGTGCCTACAAACAGGAGGACGAGGCTGCCACACACCCTCTCTCCCTCTCTGTGTCGGATTACCTCACTCCTTCCTGGTCCCTGTCCCCTTCCTCTTCCCCGGTGACCCACTCTGAGGCCAGTGACTCGGACCGGGAGGAGGATGAGGAGGAGGAAGATGATGACGATGAAGATGACAATGAAGAGCTGGATATGGAAGACATGCGAGGCAGAATGCTTCGGCGACGCAAAAAACGCAAGATCCTTTTATCGGTCAATTCCAAAAAGAAAAGCTCCCCGACCACTTCACACAGAGGACCGGGTCGACCCTGCTCTTCCTTCTCTCGTCCCGTCGCTTCCTCGGTCGGGTCCCAAGTTCAGTCGCCTTTAAGCACCATAGCCACTCCAACCACTAACATCAACAACAATATAAACATAAACATCAGCAGTTCAAGCAGCACAGTGTTGAACCATCGGCAACACTGTCCTTACTGCGGGCGCCATTTCCGCTCTCTGGCCCGCCACCTGGAAAAGTACCACAACAACCAGCCCGAAGTCAGGACTGCAATGGAGATGGCTCACCTCCACAATCATTCAAACGGCGGAATCGTGCAAAATCACTCCGCCCAAAACCCTTCCTTCGCTATCCCTCAGAACTCCAACACCCCCCCTCTGTTCTCCAGGGAAAAAGAGCCGCCAGCCGGACGCTCCAGCCAAGTCTCGTTCTCGCTCTCGGCGCCATCGTCCGCCCAGCCATCCAGCAAAAAAGGCTTAACTGCAGGAAGCCCAAAACGAGCGGTAGCGGCGCCGGTTGTTCAGGCAGTCAAGAGTCCATCTCCGCCGGTAGCTAAACGCAAGAGAGGACGGAGGAAGAAGCATGCCCCTCCGCCGCCAAAACCTGAAGTGGAAAGTTTGGGAAATCCAGACGAGCTGATCCCTCCCCCGACGCCGGAGCCAAATGTTGATCCGGAGGAAGACCTAGACTTCAGCGCTGGAGAAGAAAACTCGCCGGCTCAAAAGAACGGAGAGACGCAGAGGTGTGTAATATCAGTGACTATTCTTGATCTTTGTTTCAGACTCAGAATGATATAAAACGAGAATATTCCCAACAATAAAGACAGTCAGTCCAAGCAGGTCTGCAGGTGATCGTAGAGTTTCGACCCAGTTCTTCCTCAGAGAAAAGGCCTCAAAACACGCTCACAAACAGTTCACAACTTTTTCATGTCCAAAACCGACTCAATGTTTGGGAAGCACCATTTAAATGTTTTTATTTTTTATTTTATGTATTTTTAATTTAATTTTATTTATTTTAAAGAGGGCAAAGGCAAGTGTAAAGGCTTGTAATGAAACGGCTGCAAAAACATATTTCCAGCAATAATTGAACAAATATTTTAGTTTTTTTCAGAATTATATTTATTGCGGGTAATAGGAAGTCACAAACTAGGGACTTACTTTGGAGGATGGAGCAACCAAGTTTTAACAAATAGACATAAAAGCATGCATACAAATATAAATAAAATTCTTCTTTTTGAAAAATACAAATATTTAACAATAGACAAATGTCTGTGCAGTCAGATTGGTAATGGCTAGAAAATACGTCTTTAACTATTGGATTCATCAAGTCAAAGCACCTGGAAAAAGATTGGGCAATCAAATTAAATGCAATACAATTTTATAAAAAAATGTTTATGTGAAAAATGAATCAGGAAGTAGAGAAAGTAGAGACAAAATGCATTGACTTTACATTGCTTAACATTTAAAACTTTATTATATTGAAATTTAATATATCTATATTTACGTTGTTTGAATATATTTGGTCTCATTAAATGGTTTATTTAAACAGAGAAAAAAACATGTAAATAATTTGAATAGAAGAGTTGGGAAATGGGTTAAAGAAAGTAATTGAATAATCTACAAAAACAAAAAAATAGATGATGGGGTTAGGGTTTTTTCCCCAAGTTCCGTTATTTCTTTTTTAGCCCTAAACCGCAACAGCAGTGGCTAGGGAGGACTTTATTAAGTTGTCGTTTTGCCAACACAGATCAGAGAATCAAACTTTTCCAACACTGGAAATGCAATAATAACAAATACGTGCCATTGGTCTGTACAGGGCGGGATGATGAATGTTGTTGAATGTTCTAATCTGGACATCTTTGAAACACGCCACAGAGCGCTCTAAATAAATGATGCCCTGTTGGTACGACAGTAATCTAATAAAACCTATCATTTCTGATGTAAACTCTGCATTGTTTGAATCTGCTCATGTGTAAATGAGCGCTCTTGTTTTGTTTGTCTCGCAGCGCTGTCAAACCGCACTCTTCTGCGCTGCTGTCGTCGCTCTCCTGCCTGGTGCGGTACTTGAGTCACCAGCAGCACTCGTCGTTCCAGTCGCTCTCGCGCTCTCCTCACTCTGCCGAAGCCTGGCGCCTGCTCTGCCACTCCAGCCTGTCCCTGCTCATCCTCTACAACCGCCACCGCGAGTGCGAAGTCGCCAAGCTTACCATCCAGGACTATCGCAGCCGATCTCTGCCCAGCTCCAGCTCCGCCTCTGGTATGGAAGCTCTACTCTCCCCCTTCGAGCATCACGTCTTGAGTCACTTGCCGCGCGCTGGTGTTTTGGGCAAAAGGGGGCGCGTGCAGCCGCTCATCCTCCCACCGCATACCGAGTCCTGCCTCGACCTGCTCCTCCAAACCAGCCCGAACGTGGGTGTGGACCCGCAGAGCCCTTATGTTTTCTCGCGTCCCTACCATTCCCCCGCCACGCCGCTGCGAGGGACAGATCTCCTGAGGAACATGGCTCGTGCCAGCGGTGCAAAGAACCCTGGGCCTCTGACCGCCACACGAGCGCGCCGGCAAGTAGCCATCCTCACTCAGCTGCTGTTACTGGACGAGGGAGACGGGTCGTCCACAGCCATTAAACGCCTGGAGGAGTTTTTGGATCTGCAGTACCATGTGACGCAGAACTGCTCTGGTATTATCCAGGACCATTTACTGATGGGGCGTGTGGGTCGAGTTGTGCTTTATGGAGAGAAGCAAGGCGTGCTGTTCCGAGGAATGAGTCTGCAGCAGATCTGCTTGGAATTGGACGGTAAGAAAATGCAACACATTTCTTCATACATGTTTTTTTTTTTTAAGATTGTGGCTGTTTATAAAGGATCTGGGGAATTGACTCAACAATACTTAACTAAAACTTAAACTTGTTTACAAATCAAACAACTTCTTTTTTAATTCACTACATTCAGTAAAAACATGATTCACCCTTAAAACTGACACTTGTTTAATGTATTATTTATCATACATTGTTGTCCAATCTCTTTTCAGTGATGTCTGGCAACTCGGCAGAATCCTTTTCAGAAGAATCTGAGGCTGAGCAGGTGAAGGAGCAGGTGAAGGAGCTGCTGAAGGAGGAAGTGAAGGTAGCGGTCCCGGTGAAAAAAAAAGGCAGAGGACGACCTCCAGGAAAAAAGAAGCAAACAGCGACTCGTCCTGCGGGTCCAGCTCAACCCAAGGACCCGAAGAAGAAGGCGACGCCACAGAAGACGGGTATCTGCCTAAAGTCCTCTTTACATCATCGTCTCTGTTCTAGGGCCTCTGTTTAATTTCCTCTTATCGTTGCAGGAAAGCGTGGCGTTCTGAAGCGGCCGTGGTCGGAGGCAGAGCGTTTGGCCGTAGAGACTCATTTGAAGCAGAACCTCCTTGAACATCGAGTTCCAGCTAAAGCAGACTGTGTGCGCTGCCTGCAGCTGTGCCCGATGTTAGTGGGCAACCACAGAGACTGGCGTTCCATCAAGTTTTATGTTCACAACCGAATCCAGCTTCTCAAAAAGCAGGACCGGAGGATGAGTGCCGCCGCGGCCGCACTCAGTCAAATAACGTAGGTGCAAAGGCCTGAGTGCGCAACCTTCTCCTAACTCACTGAATGTGGCCTGTTGTGGAGAGTCTGACTTGAACTACTGCCTTCTTTATTTTTTTTTTTTTACATTTTTGGTAATCTAAAACACTAATATGTCTTCACTGTAAATGTAAAAAAAATGGCCAACACAAAAAATGTATTTATAAATGTTTTTTTACCACAGTTGTTTGGGCTTTGTCTTCTGGATTCTTCAGAGCCTTTCGCAGCAGTAACAGTCACAATGCATTTTTCTTTTTATCCCCAAAGAGAACTGTGGGGGGGAAAAAAAACATGAATCTTCTTTTTTTTTTCTGGAGCCTTTTTTACCATTCATTTTTATACATTTTTGTTTAGCCCTGAATCACAACAGTAGTCGTCTCAGAGGACTTTAAAATGTTGTTGATTCCTCCAACAAGGAATTGGCCAGGAAATGCTACAATGTACAAACTATCAGCTGTATGACTTGGGTTATTCTGTTTTGGGGCAAGGGTTTGTGTTTGTATTTTAGGTGATGAGAAAACCCTCTGAATTCCTAAGCAAGCTGTGAATGTTTTAATTGTGTATGTAATTTCTACTTTACATAAAGGACTGACAATTAAAACATCTTAAAAGTGTTGGGATTCCTCTCGAGTTGGCTTCTGTTGTAGGCTATTGATCAAATGTGGATGTGCGTCGCTGTGGAGGAAATCTTTTTACAGTTATTATAGTGACGGTTTTTATGATGCGTTTTCATAAAAGTAAAAGTATTCTAGGACCATCATTTACCAGTGAAAGTGGTTTGTGCAAAGCTATTTCAATTCATTTTCTCATCATTGTGTATTATTAAGGCACATCTACTTGAATGACTTATTTTTTACCGTTACATTCAGTGTAAATATTTTAAATCTTGTTATACAAACTTGAGTATCTTGTAATGGTGTACATAATGTAAATGCTATCTGTACTTATTAAAATGTATGATATTCTGTGTTTGGTCAAGAATTTCACTCAAAAGTAAGAGTGTATTGGCACAACAACACAGGTGACATTAGACTGAGAAGCAGAGGCTCAAATACCGATGTAGTATATAATTAACTTGATTATTCTGTGTCTGAAAGAGACTCGTGACATCAGGGGCTTTATTCTTATGAAAAACCACTGTTGTCAAATATGATCAGTGCCATACAGTCTGCTGTGACTCAGTAAAACACTGACTTTCTAAAGCCTCCTCTCCCGACAAACTGAGTTGAATTTCACCCCAACCTGTTTGACATTTTGTTAAAATGTGGCACATGCAACACGTTTGACTGCATGAAAAAAGCAAATAGAACGATTTATCACCAAAACACTTGGTATTGATAAATGTAAGGACAACTTAATTATATGTATTATGGAAAATATGTTTAAGTTGACTACATTACCCTTTAAAGTCAATCATTATCCACACTAGAAAATCACTAAACCCTTTTTAACGGAGCGCTTTTTGTCAAATTGTATGAAAATAATTGCAAAGTAAATTCATTTATTTAAAAAAAAAAATCAAGATTGTGAAATACAACAAATACAATTATCACAGATAAAAAAACAATATGACAATACAACCACACATTGTTCCTATACTAACAAATTATACAAAACTTAACCTCCACATTAGAACATGTCCGTTAATAAGTACAACTGCACAATTCAGTCTATAAAAAACACGGCCAATGATAAAGTACAGCTTCACACCATGAAAACACATAATTCACTGCGATAGGAGATAAAGTTACATTTATGTCTTAGTTTCATCAACAGTTGCCAATTTGTTTTCTGTAATTTGATGCAGTATCTTCATTGGCGCCTTGGCCCTGGATTGAAAAGAGGAAAGATTGGCCCTAAAAATGTAACTGGATAAAACCAATGAGACAATTTAATGCACATTGTAGAAACGTAGCGTTCCCTCTTCATAATCTAAATATACCCAAATTACACTTAGCTGGACAGAAAAGTGAACCTTCCTTGTCAAAAGAAGAAGAGAGAAACCAAAAACCAAGCAATTGTTGGATTACAATCTTCTCACCAGGACTTTTTAGAGTGAATCTCTGCATTCCCATTTATGGCCAAAGAGACTTCCCAGTAGTGTTTTTTGTAGTGAATCAGTGGGATCTCCTCACAGCTGTGGCTCAGGTAACTTTAGCATCATCTGTTTCTCTTAGGTTATTACCTCTAATTAAAATATACTAATTCCCACTCTCCTCAAGGTCAATGCCGAATAAGAGAAAGACGTTTCAAGATGTTTAAACTGCAACACATATTTCCATCATGGGTGACTTCTTTCTCTATCACAGATGTAGAAAAAGCAATATTTATGTTAATACAAGCACACATTGTACATATACTAAACAAATGTCAGTGGATTGATACAACTACAAAATTCAGTCAGTCTAAAATAATGAAAACATGGCCAATAAACTGGCAATGATAAAGTATACAACTTCACATCATGCAAAAAACATAATTCACTGCTAAAGAATGAGTTCAGATTAATTCCATTTATATAATGAATCTGAACAGAGTTACATTTATGTCTTTGTTTCATCAACAGTTGCCACATTGTTCTCCATTGGTACCTGGTCCCTGAGCCCCGGATTGAAAAGAGGAAAAATTGGCCCTAAAAATTTGCACTGGATATAACCAATGAGACTTTTTTTTTCTATGCTGTATCTCCATTGGTACCTGGTCCCTGAGCCCCGGATTGAAAAGAGGAAAAATTGGCCCTAAAAATTTGCACTGGATATAACCAATGAGACTTTTTTTTTGCTCATCGTAGAAATGTAGAGTTCCCTTGTCATAATCTAAATATACCCCAATTACACTCGGCTGGACAGAAACGCCTAGAAATGTGTTTGTGTTTGTGTTGAACTGCAAAACCCCTTCATTGTCAGGAGAAGAAGAGAGGAACCAAAAACCATTAGCAATCGTTGGATCGCAATCTTTGGGTATATCAGACCGGCTTGTGACACCAATCCACCAGGACTTTTTAGCGGGAATTTTTGCATTTCCTTTTATGGCCAAAGAGACTTCCCAGTAGTGTTTTCCAGAAGTGATTTCAGGTGATCCTCTCACAGCTGTGGCACAGGTAACTCTGCTTTCCTTCTCTGCGGCATCACACGATTCTCTTAGTCTATTGTTTTTTATTAAAATACTCTCATTCCCATTCTTCTCAAGGTCAATGTTAACTGCGGGAGTAAAGCATAATCACAAATAGAATACAAAACAACGCAATCATTTTTGCATATTTCAATTGGGCTTTTACCATATTTGTAATCTGTAAAAACCAGGAGAACATATTTTAAGTTCAAATAGACCACAGCATTATGAATGAAATGAGAAGCAGTATTTCCAAATTGGTCAAAAGGCTTACTTACCCGTGTCAAGAAGTTTTTCAGATTCAGACGGATCTTTTAAACAGAGGAAACATAAGTACTGGAAGTGTTAAGAAATAATTCACCGATGCATTGTAGCCTCTTACCTTCATTACTGGCATGTTTAGAAAACGGATCTGCTCCCAAAACAAGCATGCTAGAAGGTTGGTTCGAAATCAGATTAAGTTTATTTGCCATTTGCAGATAACTTCGGTATTTAAGTAAACCGAATAAAATAAGAGCAGCAAGAAAAATAGCTGCAATCGCAAACAGAACCCATCCTGCAACTGCAACCGAATAAAGATTGAGTCAGTGGACAATAGGGATAATCAATATAATTATACACTTCTCTACCTGGTTGTTCCTGTTTACTGGGGATCTCCATGTGCATGTGCAGTCTTCCCTGTACAGTTTTTTCACCGGGAAGACCTACTGAACAGGACAGAGCAAAAGAGCTTGGCACAATCAGCCAGCTATGAACCGAATAGAAACCGGTGGAGGTTTTTCTGTGGACTAGAGCTTTGGCCGTAAGAGCGCTACTTCCATCTGACCAATGCAACAGAGGTTTAGGATACCAGCCCTCAGACTCGCAGCTCACATTCATTTTGTCAACTTCATTTACTACTGCTGTGAGCAAAGGTTCCACTCCAGTTTCTATGAGCACACAGAAGAAGAAGAAGGAATTTATTTCAGATCTGCATTCATAATAAGATGTTTCTCCTTTCATACTTACGGCTCACAAAAAGGTTTAAACTTGCGTGGTCGTGATGCTTGTCGCTGCTAACATAACAAGTGTATTCTCCCGCATCAGCAGTTGTGACGTTCACCAGTTTAAGGCTCACGTCTCCGGCCTTCAGACCAGTGGAAGAGGCATCCTTATGGCCAAATGAAACTCTGTCACTGTAGGAAGCTGGCCGAGATGCATTGTTGATAGTCTTGTCCTTGTAGAGCATGATGGGAGTATCGAATTTGCTATGAAACCAGTTCACCTCCATGTCTTCAGCACTTTGTGGTGGACTGAGCCAGCATGGTAATATTGTAGTTTGCATGGTGTGGACTGACATGTTAGACGTGACAGAGACCAAAAAATTTTCTAATACAAACAAAAACAAATCAAACAAAAGTATTTAAGTATAACACTGACTCATGGACATGTTATAATTAACATAATTAAGAACCAGACAACGGACACAAGCAAACACCATTCATCCACAAATCCATTCTTTGGTATAAAAGATTTTACTTTCACTTTCAACTGCGCGTATGTATGGGTAATTCTTTACTATTTGCTAAGTTCGGATCCCGAATTCCATTATGTTATGTGAATCCACTACTTGATATCACTTTTAAAAAGTATTACTCACTTTAGCTTTTTTTTTTTGTGTGTGGGTGGATCCATTATAAAATTGGTCTAGTGGAAACATGGGTTGAGGCTGAAGGTGACCTACCTGTCGCAGCCTGACTGAGCCACGCATTCATACAAACTTGAAGCCAAAACAGTAAATAATATGCATCTATAGAAAAGACATAATATATAATCAGAATTTATAGAATACTATTCATAAAAACAGGCGAACCTACCCTTGGTTAACCTACCCATTATGAATAGTCTTCAAGCAGTTGTGAATGTTGCCTTTAAATTTGCATGCAAATTACATATACGTCGAATTAAAAGGTCTATACTCGAAAATGAGTTAAAAAGTAGTGTCCGTACCGTTACACGTTGTCGTTTTAATTTTCACTTTCGTTTTCCCAAATTAGATTGAAAGAGGGGGGGGGTGCAATTTTTTTTTTTTCATGACGAATCTGTTGAGCAAGGAGTTTTTAAAGTGTGGATGCCGTAGATGTGAAATGCAATAAAAACGAATTTAAATGGAAATATAGTGAACTATCTATTTAGAATTTAACGTTCAAATCACTCACGTGGTTGCTAATATGATAAACCGGAAGTTACGAAATCACTCTTCAACATAAAACCTCCTGTAAAAATATATAAAATTAAATACAGGTGAAAGAGATAATATATCGGTTTCTATAATCTATAATATTTTTTGATTATATTTAAAATACAATTATTTCTTCAGGTTGCATAAATATCCAATTTTCTTTATATTTTGCATTTTGATATATTGTTTTGAAAGGATGACCGGACATGGTGTTAGACATGTTTAGGAAGCTGAGTCCAAAGGATCTTAGTCCACTTTTTAATATATGTTATTTGTTCAGACCATGGAGGGTTATCGCCGATTTATTATATTATTGTATATTGAACCACTCAGTAAATTTATAGTGTGGTCAGGTTGAAATAAATACTTTAGCTAACTTTACTATGCGCAGTTTTGCTAAGAACCAACACGTTTGGTTAATTGCCATCTTAACAAAATAACGAGCTAGCTTTCGTCCCTGTTGTGGTTCATCATTAATAACGATGTCTGAGGAAATAGACGACACCACCCCATTGCTTAGAGATGATGAGAGCTGGTGAGTAGTCGCTGCATGGTGAAAACATGTAAGGTCATCTAATTTAATGCAAATGTTAGTAGACTTCAATATTCCTGTCAACGTCTATTCAACTACTGCTCCCAAGATCTTGTTTTATTTCCTTGTGTGTAGTGAAAGTCAAGATGCTGTGTACAAGAGTAGATGGAGGTCAATTCGAGTCATGTATTTCACCATGTTTCTCAGTAGCGTCGGTGAGATCATCTTTAAATGATTCTTTCAATATTGAGTTATTCTAAAATACAATATGGGTCTGATCATTTTATTTGCCTGTGTTTTTGTTTAGGTTTCACCATTGTCATAACTTCACTGTGGCCCTATTTACAAAAGGTGAGTAAAACAGACAATGTGGATTTTTAGCAGTGTTTTGTTTATTGTATTGTTATTTGTGTTTTTATATGAATATGAATTATTTTTCTGTAGGTTGATCCTGGTGCTAATGCCAGCTTCCTGGGCTGGGTGGTAGCGGTCTATAGCCTCGGTCAAATGATTGCCTCACCTCTGTTTGGTTTGTGGTCGAATCATCGTCCACGGCGTGAGCCACTGGTCTGCTCCATCTTCATCAACCTTCTAGCAAACATCTATTATGCTTATGTCCATCTTCCAAAAACGGGGAATAAGTACCACATGATGATATCGAGAGCCTTCGTGGGATTTGGAGCTGGTATGGAAGGCTTTGTTTTTAATTTATAGAAATGTAAAGTAAAACACATTACTCTTTTTGTAGGTAATGTTGCTGTGGCGAGGTCGTATGTGGCTGGAGCTACATCTCTAAAGGAGAGAACTGGTGCAATGGCCAACATGAGTGCTTCCCAGGCCCTGGGATTCATCCTGGGTCCAGGTATGGTTCCACTGGTCCTGAATGTAGCAGAGAGATACTCATCCATGATTGTTCTTCTGTAGCTCTTCAGGCCGGTCTGTCTTTTATTGGGGAACATGGAATCACACTTAAGTTTATTGAGTTACAGCTCAATATGTACACAGCCCCAGCTCTTCTGGCAGCAGCATTGGGTCTCGTCAACATTTTTCTGGTTTTGTTCATACTGAAGTAAGTGGAGTGACTTTTTTCTGAATATTTTTTATTCATAAACTTTCTCTGTCTTTATTAACATGTTTGCTAACAGAGAGCATTATGTTGATGAGGATGGAAGACTCATCCATCCAAGCATCAACTATACAGAAGGTATTGATTTTTATTTGTCCATTTTGTCCTTAATAAACTTAATTAACATTATTTTATTTTAGATAACGTTGAAGACAGTGGTGAAGCAGAGGAAAATGTTGACAATGTTGCAGTCGTCACCTCAAATATTCTCTTCTTTGTTGTCATGTTTATCTTTGCTGTTTTTGAAACGTAAGTATGATGATGAGGTAAGATAACGCAGGAGAAATGTACAATAATGATAATAATAGTTCAATGGAAAGATTGATCATTTTAACTTTATTTTTGCAGTATAGCTACTCCTTTGTCAATGGACATGTTTGCATGGACAAGGAAAGAAGCTGTGTTATACAATGGGATCATAATTTGCTGTATTGGATTTGAGTCCATCTTGGTATTTATCGTTGTAAAACTAGCCGCACAAAGGTGTGTATTAACGTATACATTTGTGAGGAAGACATTGTGGTTGTTTCTTAAATTGCTTCTGATTTCAGGTTTGGTGATCGCCTGATATTGTTAGCGGGCCTGGCTTTTATATTCTGCGGATTTTTTTCCCTACTTCCTTGGGGAAATCATTATCCTAGAATACAGTGGGCTGGTAAGTCGTACCTCATGTGCTCAGCAGAGCGTATTTGCTTACACTAACCTCCCAAAAAATCATTATGGATCAGTTTTAAATCTTCACTGTGGATTGAAGGAAATCGATAATATTGAAAATAGTTTGTTATCTGGTTCCTTGGGAGACTAGCATCTTGTAAAAATAACAGTCTATGAGTCGCTCATGTAAATAAAAGTTTTCTAATTATTGGTTGTGTGTATTTTATCATTGCAGATATTAAAAACAATTCACTAGTCAGTCAAATGACCGTGGTGTCCGTGACCAACAGCACAGTGGAGCCGACCGGATGCCCGCTGGTGCAGACTTGGTGCCAGTACACCCCAGTGATAAACCTCCCTCAGTACCTCACAGCTGATGTCCTCATTGGAATTGGCTATCCAACATGTAACGTTATGTCCTACACACTCTACTCTAAAGTTTTGGGACCAAAGCCTCAAGTACAAACATGTTTTAACATTTTTACAAATGGTGAGTTTGTCATTCTGATCCGTAACGTTCTTTGAATGAATTCCACAGGGTGTGTACATGGGTTGGCTGACAGCTGCAGGGAGTGGAGCACGAACTCTTGGTCCGGTCTTTGTGTCTAATGTCTACACTCACCTTGGACCTCGATGGGCTTTCAGTCTGATCTGCGGCGTGGTTGTTGGAGCTATACTTCTCCTCATGGCAGTTTATAAAAGACTTATTGGTTTCTCTGCTCGTTTTGGAAGGGCAGCATGAATTAATCAAATTACATTGAGCTGGATGTTTGATATGGAGATTTGTATTTAAATTGAGTGACTGCTAATATGACTCATTCATTCAACTGTAAAGTTTTTTTATGTGAACAATATATTTTTTTCTCTTTTAAACAAATTCTCTCTGCTTTCTCAAAGTGGAGTCTGAGGAGATTATTTCAGATATGAGTTCCCTCAGTCGAGTGGCTGGGAGAGAGTAAACTTTCATAGAGAAAGTGAGAAGACGCTTCTTAACATGCAGCACTAGAACAAATGTCATTAAAAGGTGTTCTATTTACATACAATTTTCTATTTTTGTTTTTTTTGTATAAAGTGGAGTGGCACTTACATGTAAAATATGAATATTATTGCACTTTTAACATATAATGAAAACGTTTCTCTCTGCCTTTCTCGTCATCCGGATTACATTTAAATAAAGCAAACGGAAGCAAATAAAGATTATGGCAGCGGTGGGATTCGAACCCACGCCCCCGAAGAGACTGGAGCCTTAATCCAGCGCCTTAGACCGCTCGGCCACGCTACCTTAGAAATGCATTTGACCAAAATAAATCAATACACTAACTACATCAAAATGAGTAAAACTTAAAATGAAACGTGATTCTGTCTTCTCTAAAACAGCGTTGGAAACACAACTTAAACCGATGGCACGAGTGCCATAGCATATTTAGGATTATTTAGTAGTTAATATAATCAGCGATCTTGTAATGCAACTTTAATAACATTTTCACCCCAGTAAAATAATGTGACATTTACAGCTTGTCATCGGGGACTCTGGTGCCCTCCTGTGGCCAATTAACGCTAGTGCAACTACAAGGACTGAAACTTTAAAACGGCTGTGTAGCAGATGTTTACAAAGAGCCTTAGGAAATAAATGGTTCTTATTGGGCCTGATTACTGTAGTGCTTTGTTTTTCGCGCCTCTCTTTAACTTTTGCCTCCCTCTAAGAGCAAAATTATACGAATGCCGTATTTAAACATAAATGAAAAATAGATAACATCAGAAAGCACATACCTCAAGTCATACAGATAATGAAGTTTCTTGTACCGGATTAAAGCGAGATATTTTTGTTGTAGTTATTCGTAACACCACAAGAGGGCACACGAGTGTCGTCTACTGATAGCGTTTCCACCATAGACCACCGGCAGACAGTAGCGTAGTAGTTATTGTATCAAAAATGCTGCCTCATACTTAACCTATTGCTTCATCCTGCCTCCTTTCATGCGAATCTATGATTATCGAATAATCGCTGGTGTATTTCCTTGTTTCACAAGAATTATACACTATCATCAGTTCAACATGTCATGTCAGGATGGCCGAGCGGTCTAAGGCGCTGCGTTCAGGTCGCAGTCTCCCCTGGAGGCGTGGGTTCGAATCCCACTTCTGACAGACCTCTTTTACAGCTGAAAAAAGCTCGTTTTTACCATCGGCCATTCCAGTGTTATAAATTGTAAACAGTTAAGGTAAATGTAATGTCAATATCAATTGTATATAAGAAAGAACACTTTTATTCATCAGTGGGGACATTTCACACATAAGTAAATAAATACAAGCACTCATCTACACATTATTCACACAATACTTCAGTATTGCACATTATTCAATCTGATATTTTGAAAAACTGTGGTAGAAAGGATAGAAGGCAGAATTTGTATTATAGGAATAACTTTTACATCTTTGAGTGTCCAGAAAAGCCCTATATAAAACGGATGTATTATTTGTATAAATTCTTTGGTGAAGAAAATAAAAAAGCAGCTGATGACACAATAAGAGAGGTTCCAATTCAGAAGTGGTAAGCAAATGTTTTAATAGTTTTCAAATACATGTGGGGGCGCAGAGTTACTGCTTAGTACACAGTATAACATTTTTTCTAATAAGACAGTATGTTAATTGTGGTCGGATGTGTTCTTTTTACAGGACTATTTCTAGTGACACAATAACTTTTCATTATTTACTCAAACAAGTTAAGCACCTCAAACTCGCTTTAAAAGTATATTGACTCATATTTGCACTCTTATCAGTCTAGTCACCGCGTTAGTCACTGTCTCCTCAGAGATACGTATTCATGATTTCAAAATACTTATATTTATTTCAGGTGAGTCATTTCCCAAAAGCAGGTATGCAGGAGGAGGAGCAATGAAGCAAGACAGGCGCAGACGCTTGGAAGAAAACAGGAACGCGCTTTACTTTACCCCAGCGACGCGACAACCCAAAACAACACCACCGCAGAGGGATCCGGGCATTAGAAAAACTCCCCTGGAGCTTTCTGCCTTCAGCCACAAGCGCGGTGAGTGTGATTGAGTTTTTCAGCCTGGGAAAAAAAAAAGTTAAGGGGAAGTCGTGGAGCTTGTCAGTCGGGTTACAACAGGTGTTCGCATTGCGTAAAAGTGGCCATATTTCGCCAAAAGTGACTAAAAGAGAGATTTAAACTAATCCAGCATCTGCTTTGCCTTTCATAACGAATGGAATCTAGTGTTTGGCCCAAGCTTGGTTAAGTCCACAAACGAAACAGCCGTGGGCACACATCAAACGCGTTAAAAGTACTGTCTCCTAAAAGTGCTTCACATTGTTACGCTCTATCCACAGTAACAGGGCATTCGATTGCTTATTTGAGATTACACAAAATACTTTCGTCTCGCTATGAACGTAACTGACACGCAAATAATTCACGTTTATATCATTAGTCTTTCTGCGCAGAGGTAGTTTTGACTGTAAACTGGTGGATTTGTGTGTCCGTCTGTGCTCCAGGAGAGACGGGTGAGGAAAAGTTTATTCAGAGGAGCTCCAGCCCTAGGTGTGTGTTTGTATATTTGTGTCTCAAACTGTGGTACTTGTACACAGTTTAAGAGTTAAGGCTATATTGATTTTTCAGAACAGCAAGTTTACTGTCCAACTAGTTCCCTGCTCTCACAAACATCACCTTGTGTCCTGTGTCCGTGTTCTTTTTGGCTCTTGAACACACAATATAGTCTTTAGAGGTTAAACATATATGGATAGAGCATATGAATAAACATGTACTACTGGATGTTGAATTAATTGAAGGCATATAGCTGTAAAAAAAAGAGTAATTCACAAAAGATTTTCTGTTGCTGTAAACTTGGGGTTTTTCTGCCTTTTATTTGTTTATACTGAGTTATTTAGGTATTTGTTTAAAGGATAAGGCCCTAAGGATGATTAGTCTCGTTTTTGAGGGGGTCCTCAAAATCAGGGAGCAGGAAATGTCTCTGTCCATGATGTCATAGTCTGAGGAGTCTTAGTGTAACAAGTTTGAGAACAGAGCATTTAGACCAAAGGGACGGGGGTACGTGTTTAGGGCTGCAGCTAATGGTTATTTTAATAAAGTATTTTGACAATTACCAGATTAAACAAAGTAGTAGTCTTGAGTTGTTCTCACATTGTTATCTGCATATTTTATGTACATCTTTTTAATTCATTTTTAATTCAGGCGACAGTAGCTCAGTTGGTAGAGCATTGGCCTTTGAGCCTGAAGGTTGTGGGTTCAAACCCACCATTAGACCTACTTCACTACTCCCACTGATGACTGCTGTCATTGTGTCCTTGGGCAAGACACTTAACCCCACTTTGCCTGAAGACCCCGCTGAAAGATCTCAGCTTCTGTGGACTCACCACCTGCAGGAGGATCAGTGAGGGGCTGGTGAGCCTGATTTCAAAGAATTATCCTAAAGGTTTTTTTGTATTTATCACTTTATTTGATTGTAATTGTTTCAGCCCTGGACAGGTTATTGCCGACTTATGCCAGACGCTCCTGGTCCAAAATATCTCTTTTTGTTTGGCTGCCATCGCTTTGCCAAAGTGACATGTAGTAACTCAAATTTAGCATATCAAGATAAAGGATAAAGAGCATGTAGTCGTAGTGGATTTCATTTACTTTCAGTAGAAGGAATCCGTTCACTCTCTCAATTACATTCAGACCTATTGTACAGGTTTTAAGTGGTAGGGATAACCGTAGCACCTGGAGGAAACCTACGCAGACACGGGGAACATGCAAACTCCACCATGCAAGAAAGGCGTCAGTCGCTGTTACTATTTGGATGGACTAAAACCAAATGTAGCTCATGCTCTGACTCGGTGAGGGCTGTGACGTTTTGACTGAATGACCTTGACATCACTTTCTGTTTACAACATTTTCAATTATCCGTAATGAAGTTAAAGAGCATGGGATCCCAATTTACTGTGACGGAAAACACAGCTCGGCTCAGAACCGGGGGTTTTTCCTCGTCACAATGATGTAGTTCAACTGTTTGTGAAGCTTTTCCCTCTCATTTTGAAAGTGAAATAAGTGTAGCTTAAGCTCACGTACCGTAGATGCCACTCAAACGAGAGCGTGAATACCAAACTAAATATATCTATGTATTTTCCTTACTTTTTGAGATCCGCGTTTGTCTTGTTTTAGTCAGTAAATAAACAGAGGCGAGAATCTGTGAAAAGTGAAAGTATTTGTCAACAAAACGAGAAATATTTGTGGCATTTGGAGGAATGCTCGAGGCGTACGTGGCAGCTATCAACAGTTTACATAATATTTGTTTTGTGCTATTGCGAACCAATCAATGCCTGACTCATAAAGTACTGTTTAGGGGACGGGTGCGACAGAATATTTTGTAATTCTATAATCATCATCACAAACAGACCTGGAGTTATAGTCTAGTCACCAATATGACCCCCGTCCCTTCTGTGTTAGTGCTCATTTTTCTAACCTGTTCAGCTATATGGAAAATCCTCACACTGTGACGTCATGGTCAGAGCTTTTTTCTGTATTTTAAGAACGTAACCTTAGACCTGTGTTCTTTGAATAACACCACACATAATTTCTAGTTCTCCCACTGACATTTTGAGATTTTCACTCATTCGGCAACTACCCAAGCTACATGTTTAGTCTATCAACAAAATATATATATTCAAAAGGGTGAAAATTACAACAAAAATGGCTTAGTATTTGTCTAATTCCTCATTTTATGGCTGGTTCTTAATAATAATTCCTCATTTTATGGCTGGTTTTAATATTTATTCCTCATTTTATGGCTGGTTTTATGATTAACTCTCATTGGCAAAGATTCCTTGTTCAGAGTTCTCCGGGTACAGGTGGCAGTAACTAGGCCGTTTTGAAAGTCTATACCTGCAGTTTACTTTTCTCTCAGTATTGTGAAAACGAGTCTGGTCCTAATCTTGTGGGTGGGTCCGGCTTCGGCACAGTGTAGTTTACATTGAGAAGAAGAGCTTTAAATCCTTAGGTTACACAACGCCACAAAAGCCCAGGCACACAGACACGGCGTCAGTCCTGGTTTGGGTTAACTCCGCATTTATACATTGCTCAATTGCGACGACTTGTGCAAAATCCACTTTTATGAGTTTTTTTCACTATCCACTGTCACTCATCCACTGAGTTGTCTGTAGCGTCTGAGCAGAGATGCCCAGACTTCCCTCCCTGTACATGCCAGTATGTCCTGGGTCTTCCCTGGCTCTCCTCCCAATGGAACAGGCCTGGAACTAAGGCTCAGCTGACACCTCTCAACGTTTCCTCAGTCTGTCATGTCCTGTGCTGGATTCAAAGGAGGAATAAGCTGCTTGATCTGCTGCTCTGCCGCTCCAATAAAACCATTTAGTCTCAATCAGCTCAAACCATCACACATTGACCCACAACAATCTTTATGGCTTTCTATTAAACTGTATTATTACAATAATACACTTTGAAAGATCTGTATATATTTTCTTTCTGTATATTCCCCAACTTTAATCAAGGTCCTGATTGAATTCTTGTTTGGGCCAAAGAGCAGCAATGTGTGCCTTAGCAAAATGTCTCGTCACATACCTAATGATTATGTTGAAATCATTGATATTTAAGCTGAACAATAAACTGTGAATTCAATCAACTCGACAGAAAAGCAGCGATACATGGAAATGGTTTATTTTACACCAAAAGTAAAACCTATGTGTGTCATGACAATGTACACTAATCTTTTAACTCGTGTTATTCCGACCTGTCTATAGGGAGATCTCTGCATCTCTCTTCAGTCCATTTGTAGATAGACCTGGTTCAGTTCTGGTCTAGTCCTGGATCAGTCCATGTGTACATAGTCCTAGTTTAGCAGCAGCACAAAGAGCTTATTGATCAGGTCGACCTGCAGTAACCTGAGCCCCACGCTCACTGCAGAAAACACACTTCCTCTTGGCGGCGCATTTATAGTAAATACAGGTGAGCGCAGGATATATGCTGCGAAGGGACGCTCACCTTTGCTGCTTCCTCCTCTCTTTTACCCACAGAGAGTGTAATGAGCGATTGCCGTGATAATCTTAAATATATCTAAACTTTTTATGCCAGCGGTGTCCAATGTAAGGTGCAGGGCTCTTTGCACATTTTTACTCAGCAGGACAATCAAAGATCTGCAATATCTATAGTGCTGTTTTATGGGCAACATTTTATACAACACATACTCAAAGTTTAGTTCAAGTGAAAAACAAAAGACGCGTTCTGGATCTACGACATGAAACGCTTACGGGGGCGAGGATGGGAACGTTGCTTTAAACATTGATTTCTTCATAGTTCTGGCAGGAGTCATCGGAAACATTCTGGAACTTTCCATACCGTGAGAACAGTCACCTGAGGCAAAGATGAAAGCATTTAGAATCAGAAGCACTTCACCAAAACCATCATAGTCTCTTCTGAACCGTGGCACGTCAAACCTGTCCGGCCAGAACAAGGCTTATCTCTGTCTAACCTCCATCTTCTCTGCCCCAGGTTTTGGACAAATCGTCTTCTAGAAATGAACTGCTAACCACTTATCTAGTCCTGGAATTTCCTAACAACTGATCGTCAAGTTTTCGTCAAGTTTTCGTCAAGTTTTCGTCAAGTTTTCGTCAAGTTTTCGTCAAGTTTTCGTCAAGTTTTCGTCAAGTTTTCAAAGAAAAATCATGTTTTGAAAATGAATTTACTTTTTCCTCACTCAAAGTGAGTTCTCCCAGTGGCAATGGATTTACTACGACAATTTGATTCTTGACGTAATTTCTTTGCCAATATTTGACTTTCTCATTTTTCTAAACCTTTTGGAAGTAGAATAAACAATTCAATTTCACCTTTTTAAATTAAACATTGCTTTTCAAAATGGCCGCCCAGGACTTGATCCAGGACGACAGCGATGTGGGCATTCACGTGGAGGCAAACGTCACGACCGTAGACTCCCCGCAGCATCTGGCCAACGGCATATCTGACGCGAACGCCAACACCGTCAAACCGGAGGAAAACGAAGAAGAAGAAAGTAGTATTTGCCGTTATTTAAAAGAGAAACGTTTGATCCAAACTTTGAGCAAAGGACTCAAACGCCACTGCGATTACGTCAAAATCTCGTTACCGGAAGACCCAGCAAAATTTTTACCGACAGAGTGGTGGAAGACAGGCGTGGCTTTCTTATACGCCGTCTTCAACCTGTTTTTCACGACGGTGGTGATTACGGTGGTTCACGAAAGGGTCCCAGACAAGTCTGTGAGTCCCCCTCTGCCCGATAAGTTCTTTGATTACATCGACCGCGTGCCGTGGGCCTTCACCGTGACCGAGGTGAACGGGCTCATCCTGGTCGGGCTGTGGATGCTGCAGTGGCTCGCCCTCAAACACAAGTATGTCAATGTCAATGGCAACTTTATTTGAATTGCACATTTACAACACCAGCGCAAAGTGCTTCACATGCACAAAAGGGAAAAAAAAGTGTTTTATTACTCCTGGTTTACAACTTAGACAACAGATATGAAGATGCATTGTTTGTAGGGACCAACATTGCTAAAACAAGTGAATAGCAAATCTGAGAGATAATAATTGATATTAATCACGATTAAGAATTGACTGAAAGGAATTTGCTAATTGCATAATTAATTTTTTGTTATTATGCATACAATAAATTGTTGTTTTTGATAATGAAGTATTTCACCTATTTTAAAACCTAGTAGCCTAATAAACCTAAAATCAAATAAAATGCACCCTCTTTGTTTGGTGCCATCATTAGTTTTCGTATGAATGTCATGTAATTTCTTGAGAATGTTCACTTTTAAATGACAAGTTATCTATTGTGAAATAGTATCTTTAAAAAACAGTATTTGGATGAATCTATAACATTTATTTGAAAAAATAAATAAATACAACATTTATTTGGATCAAAATGATCTTGTAGTAGAAGTGGGTAAGGACACACAAAGATACACAGTGGTAAAGGACATTAAACTTGAGAAATAACTCAAAATACTTTGAGTTGTTTTTAAAGAGCTTTTAGACAGAAGGGACGCTGATACATTTGGCAGCTAGGGTTGTAGTGAAATGCCATGAAATAGAAATTGTTTTCTAAAACTCAATTTGCGGAAGAGAAGTGTTTTTTTATTGTGTCTGTTTGTATTAATCTAAATAACAGCCACTGAGACTAAGTTTTGCTTATACTTTGAATGCAGGTCATTTACAATCCACTTGTCTGACATATTTACAAGCCAAGTGTCTCCACCTGCTGGCTGAAATTGGGAACTGCTCAAACTACCCTCCAGTACCCATACTGCTGTCTTTTTTTATGTGGCTGTCCTGAGTGAAACGTGCTATTTAAGTTTCGAATAATAATACAACTATTAATAATCTTAACATATATAGAACAATATATTATGAAGCATCTGTAATTTCCCCACTGTGAAAGATATAGCTAATTTATTCTTGGCATCACTAGTATTTGTGCTTGAGAGAAAGTACTGTAGCCTCCACATATAGACCGTTCACAAGCTTCATGAGTAAATAATTATTGAATGTGTTTTTTTGCTTCAGAGCGATTGTGGGACGGCGCTGCTTCTTCCTCATAGGTACTTTGTACATGTACCGCTGTATCACCATGTACATCACCACTCTGCCGGTGCCGGGGAAACACATGGTCTGCGCCCCAAAGGTGAGTCGTGTAGGAAAGACCTGCTATATAGGGATCATTTAGGGCACCTCTGACCCATTATTCAATATATAAAACACTTAATCTCACTGTGGAGCTAAAATTATGTATTCAGTCCCTCCGTATCGCTCTGTGCTCGGCCCCTTTACTTAATTATTGGCATATCAAAGGCTAAGTGGAGAAGCTTGCAATCTACCGATGTTTTTACCATGCTCTTTAATATTCTTGTGTTTTTTTTTAGCTTTATAATGATTCCACGGGGAAGATCTGGAGAATTCTGCGCCTCATCTCTGGAGGAGGTAACTGAAATATCGAATCAGTGATGTATCTATGGAGTGTGATGTTTCTTCAGTTTAATAACGTGTCAAACACAGACTATTGACTACAAGAGTTATAATCTTAGAATTTTCACTTAACCTTAATTTCTTGTTATAGAATGTGAAGTGATTTGGTTCGTCAAGCATATATAATGGACAAAATACCTCCATCTAGTGGCAGAAGTGTGAAAATCACTGCTAACATTTGTGTTGTGAATGGAAGGCACTCTATATTAATGAATGGGACAGGAGATTTAATTCCCCAAATTAAATGAGAGGCAAAAACTTTGAGCATTGAAACTTTGAACATGACTACATAACATAGTCACAGCAATAAGGCAGAAGGGAGAGGGGGACATGTTTTTGCTAGAAGTCTTTGAAGAATGGAGCTTGCAAACAGCGTACTACAGTTAAAAGCATAATTGAACTTTCTAATATACAGTGCCTCTCGACAGTATTAATACACCTCCAAAGTCCAGACCTAAATCCAATAGAAAATCTGTGAAAAACTTCAAAACTGCTGTTCACAAACGCTCTGTATTTAATTTGACAGAACTCAAGTTGTTTTTTGAAGTGGAATGGGATAATCTTTCCGTCTCTAGATGTGCAACTTTTAGTTTTTTTTCTATTTGTTGAAAAATAGTCATGTATCATTTTACTTTCACTTCAGTTGTCTGTTACTTGTTTATGAGTATAGCTCCAAAAGTTCAACGTGTAATAATACTTTTGAGAGGCACTGTTTATAATATGATGTGATATATATTTAAATGGAATCTTGTTGTTTTGTCGGTTTGCAGGTTTGTCCCTGACAGGGTCTCATCTGATGTGTGGAGACTTCCTATACAGCGGACACACAGTCATGCTGACGCTGTCCTACCTCTTCATCAAAGAGTGTGAGTATCAAGCACACGCAGCCTCAAAGACGACATAACACGCTTCTGTCGTCTGCAGTGATCAACTGTGACACCTGTGGCCCATTATTCAGTGCATTTGAAAACACCATATTGATCAAAAACAGTGCTATAAAAGAAACACACGCAACATGATTGTGGAAAGAACAGAAACCCGCTATAAACATTCATGTCTGCTGCCATCTGCTAAATCTGTAAACAAAGTACAAGCTCCTGACTGTGGAATAGATGCCCACCTCGTTCTGTGATTGGTCCCCAAACCCATGCGAACATTTTGGTCTGAGTTCCCAGGCTATTGTGCAGTTCTAAAATGATTCGAGTGTACACAGCTGCATGGGTCTTCCCAGAGCAGGCATCAAGGGAAAAAGCTGAGAATGATCAATTTTCTATTATCTCTTATCATTCAGAACACTTCAGTATGGCGGCACGATGGCTGAGTGGATAGCACCCTCGCCTCTCAGCAAGAAGGTCCTGGGTTCAAATCCCGGCCGGAACAGGGCATTTCTGAGTGGAGTATGCATGTTCTCCCCGTGTCTGCGTAGGTTTCCTCTGGTTGCTCCGGTTTCCCCTACCACTAAAAACATGCACAATAGGTATGAATGTAAAGAGAGTGAATGGACTGTGTTGATTGGAGCTGATGGTCCAGTGTGTTCTGGACTCGCTTCTGTCATCACCGTGTGTGGAATGATTGGAACAATATCTGAACTCTGAACATTGTAAAACGCTTTGGTTGATCTTGGTCTGTAAAATGCGCTATATAAATAAACATAACTTACTTACTAAGTGCTTGTGTTTTTGCAAGAAAGAGTGCAAAAAAATCAAAGAAAGTAAACTAGAAATATTTTAGGACTATTCAATAAGTGTTCAACTTTATCCCACTCCTTTTCAAGTAGCGGTGAAGTTTCTTTGTTTTAGCGGTGATGGTAGTTTCTTTGTTTTACTATCAGTGTTTTTACGACCACGGTTTTTATTGTTGTTGTAAAGGATGTGCATTTTTTCATTGTGGGTTTGAACTAAACTGTACACTATAAAACACTATAACACTATCTAATAATGCTCATTCCCGGATGTGAATGCGGTGCAGACTCTCCCCGCTGGATGTGGTGGTATCACTGGGGCTGCTGGATCCTCAGTGCCTCTGGAGTGATCTGTATCCTGATGGGACACGAACACTACAGCATCGACGTGGTCATCGCCTACTTCGCCACCACACGCCTCTTCTGGACCTACCACACTATGGCCAACACACACGTAAGGAAGCCCTCAAGGGAATATTTCATTTTTTTGTTTTAGTTTTGAATACACGGTCAGGGTTATGGATACACCGATTATGGTTTCCAGGGCTCTTTGTTGGATGAGGTATCAGTTTTATGATCGGAAGTATGAGCTCACATCCTGATTGGGCGTTCTTGCTATGTAATAAAAAATCTTGTTATGGCCAAACCCATTTTCTCCTGGGTAAACCATTTACTGTGACAACTCTACTGTAATCAAACGTCTTCATTCATTATTTATATTGCATTACATACTGTAGGTGTAGCTATGTCATCGCCTCTTCCTGTGTTTTTATAGTCGCTGCGTCGGGCTCCAAACAACCTGCTGTCCAGAGCGTGGTGGAATCCAGTCTTCAACTTCCTGGAGAGAAATGTGCAGACGGTTGTTCCCATAGAGTTCTCATGGCCCATAAAGCTGCCTTCGTCCTGCCGGCAGAGATACAAGATGGTGGAGGGAGGACGGGACGACTGACTGAACTATTTCACACTCACCAAACTCTGAAGAAAACTTGAATTTCTAATATTGTAAATATTTTGTTTGGACAAGTTTATATTTAATTGCAAAACCGATGGAGAACACACGAGATGTATTTATTCTTACTGTCAACTTAAAGGTGCACTCAGCGACAATTATGAGGAATTTACATCTGAAGTCCTGGCCTTCCCATGAGGGTTGATTTGCCAAATATGAAACAGTAACTGGTCAAAACAGTGTTGATTTAGTTCCAAATCAGTAAAAAAAACAATTTTCTATTCTCATCTGAATCACTCTTTACAAACTACTTTTTCTTGTGAATTGATTAAATAATAATAATAACAGTCTAATTATAGGCAAAGGAATGCGTCTCCGTCAACCAACTTTGCCAACTTTCAATTTTATGATAGATGTTCCTCAGCATATAAAGTTTACTGACATAATTTGAAACTTGTTACTGATTCTTTCAAGACTACCTTTGTGAATCCAAGTAAAAACTGAAACGTGCAATGTAAACTTTGACATTAGGCAATTTGTCCTGATGGCATTATATGGGAATTTACTGAAATGTCTTGAATAACATTGTATTGCTGTGTGTATAGCTGTTGAAACATAATTCATTGTAAAATAAAGACGCCACACCCGACACTCCTCGTAAACTGGACAATATAATATGTATAAAGTTGCTCATAAATCGGTTGGTTTCACTGCAAGTCATGTTCACTATTTATCAAGAGGCTAAAATGGGAGAATCACTTCTTTTTAAGCGATTAGTATAATGGTGTCTTGCCAAAGATGGGGCTGGGAACCGCACAACTTATTAGTACATAGTTTAGAGTCAGAATATTATTTGCAATTTGTACATGTTTGGTGCTACTTGAAAGGAGGAGGTGGTCTACTATAGGAGCAATAGGTTGGAGATCCCTGGTGTACAACTGTAATTTATATTAACATATGGTCAATAGTCAATATTCATGAAAACCTGTCATCAGCTCTTAAAAAGTTGTTGAAAGTAATCTTTATTTATATAGCACATTTCACAGAACAAGGTCAAACAAAGAAATTTACAATTATTGTAAAACTTCTGTCAACACAGTGATGACAGAAGCGAGACGGCAAACTCATTACAGCCTCTGACCATCACCATCCTGTTATACCTGTGGTGGGGGAAACCTACTCAGACCCAGGTAGAACATGCAAACTCCAAACAGAAGGGAAGGGGCATCAAATCCAGGACAAGTGCTTTTCTCATGCATTTATTTCTGTCACATCTTTAATTAGCTTTTTTAGATGGACATGTGATAATGACATTATGGGCGACAGTAGCTCAGTTGGTAGAGGTCATGGGTTCGAGCCCACCTCAAGACTTTCACCATCGACTCCTGCTGTCGTTGTATCCTTGGCAAGACACTTAACCTCTGGGAACACCAGCTGCCACAGTGGGGCGGCTGCGGCTGTAAAGTGCCAAACTGCTGTTGTGTCCTTAGGCAAGACACTTCACCCCCATTGCCTAGAATGAGTCTGGTGTGTGTGTGAATGGTTGGTGGTGGGAGGGGCTGATGGCACATACTGGTTGCCTCGCTTCTCTCAGTGTGCCCCAGGGCAGCTGTGGCTACTGTAGAAGTTTATCACCACCGTGTATGTAGTGAAAGAATAATGACATGTAAAGCGTCTTTGAGTGTCCAAAATAAGCGCTCTATAAAACCGATGCATTATTATTATTAAAAAGAGAAGAAATTAGCTAATAAGCTCTCAGCTCAAAATGATAGTAAGTCGCGCGCAAAAAGTAATGTTTAAGATTGTACAAAACTATTTCTGTTGCAACAAAAAATGCTTACATTTGTAAATAAATTAAAAAAAAAGTAAAGTTCCCCAGGAAACATGTTTGCAGATAATGAACGTGTAGTAAAAAAGTACATTTAGTAAAAGCATGACACTATTATTCATTAAAGCAGGTAAGTCTCATTAACGGCTGGTAACTGGCCGTTGCTGCCAAAAACATTTGCATAAGTTTGGCTCAAAATTCACACTTGCTTCTCGAGAAAAACTGTTGTGATTTTGGGCAATATGAATATAATTTATTTGATTTGACTTGATTTGATTGAGGGCTTTACAAATATAAATTGAATTGAACTGAGTTGTCATTCCCTCTCGCCCAACGGATCCTGACAGCTCAGCCGTGAAAGCAGCTCACCTGTGTGCTCTTAAATCAACACATGATGCTGTGGCCAGGAGACGCATGGAAATATCCACCTCTATCCAAATCATGAGACATCAATAATGTCAAATTACACAAATGACAACATCCACTTCTCAAACTCTCTTTGGAAATAATGTGATCGCAAGATTCTCAGGACTTTGTCTTAAAAACACTTAAAACAAGGCTAAAAGCTCTTGAATGGCAATCTTACGTGTTTGAACATGTGGACGGTGACATCAATGTTATTAAATGTATCTTTTAACTGCAGTCTATCTCCCTATTCCAAATCTTCTCCCACACTGCTGAAGTTTCCCTGCTCGCTGCAAATAAAGCAGCGGCAGTAGCCGTGTGGTCACTATGTTTATCCAAAATGAAATGAAATACCAATAATATTGGGACACTTCAATTTTTAATATTCCAACAAAAATGTTTATTATGACATTGGAGAAAAACTTTAACATCAGCATGACCAAGATCAGCTCAATGACTAAGAAAGCGTGTTGTTTTGATTTTTCAATCTTCCATTTGCCGTGTACTGCGCCCCCAGGTTTTGGAAGAGTCAGGACTTTGAGAACAGCCACACTGCAGTAGAATATTGTTCCTAGATACAAAACCGTTTGGCAAGTGTCCCCTATGAAAAACCCCAACTCAAAACCAGTTCTGACAATAACAGGGAATAGTACGAGCGTTTCAACCCAAACCAGTCCAGTGGAGATGTTCCGGATCAGGCGACCTCTTCCTTTCTTGAGGCTCAGGTACGTCATGGGATGCACCACTCCTACATAGTGTTCAATAACCGTAAACACCGGGAACACCATTTCCCCGTACCATGCAAAACTGCTCAACCGCTGAAAAAAGTAGCTTTTATCATAATCATAAAAAATGACACAAAGAGTACCCAAAAATCCTACGCAGCCCACCAGCTCCAAAATGGCGAGGTTGTACATAAAGAAGTCAGAGTAGTTTATGAACCAAAACGAATCGTTCCTTTTGGACTTCCATTGCCTGAATCCCAAATAAAGGATATAAACGCAGACAGGGAAAATCACGATGAGGGAGATGACTGACAATTGAACTTTCAACATCACGTCCTGGGTCCCAGAAGTGTTAGTCGCCATGTTTCACACTGACGAGAATGAAAGGAAAAAGTAAATATTTACTAAAAAGTAAGTTTTTTTTCTTAAATAATTCCAAATTACAATCCAAAGTGCTTCAAATTTGTAATCATTAGTTCCTTCATCACTTCCGAGATTTTTTTTAAAAAGCGAAAAAATCTGCCATTCTTGTTGATCTAATGTGAGCAATAATATAATGCAAACTAACAGACACACAAACTAACCCTGGTGTTAGAATCGACAGTTCTTTTCATTTCAGACTTAACCTAAACCAGAAGTCAAATTGAGTTACACATTTTCCCCCAGTAAATTTTTATCTCTACAAAATAACATAGAAACAAAATGACAAATTTACCCATAAATCCAATGGTCCACAGCTGATGTTCGGGCTCAGCAGTGAAAGCAGCTCACCTGTTCCAACATCAACACATGACACCGTGGCCACCAGACTCATGGAAACGATCCCTATCCAAATCATGTGACATCAATAACATCAATTTACACATATGACAACCTCGGCTTCTGAAACTCGCATTCAAGATTATACAATAAAATAATGCAACATTATTTTATATTTTTGCTTTGCAGTAAATGTAAACTATTGCCCAATGGCCGGTTAACCCACCCGTCACACAAAGCCAAAAGAACCAGATATTACACACAATTATTGTAATTAAATAAATATGATTAGAAATGTTCATGTGAATTGGGATAGTAAGAAGGACTAAAAGACAAGGAGTACATTGGGAATGTTTATTTTTTTCTCAGTTCATTAACCAACTTTGCCACACAGATTACAAAGCACTCATAAACAAAGATTAAATCTGATCTTCAGCTACATACGTGAACACATAACTAAATTGTTCAGTTTCCTAACCAGCCATTCAGAACATATATTATTTTCACGAAATCTCACCAAGAGTCACCAACAATGACCAAATGTACAAATGTATTTACATCCAGAAACCTATGATCAAATGTAACAACAGCTGTAACGACAGTAAACAGATTAGAGTGGGACTCTATCAGGATTTTGTTGTTGTCAACTAAACTATTAAAGACGTTATATCCACATATTAATGAAAATGAATGAATACACTTAGCATGGCTGAACAAAGAAGGCCTCAATATAATGAAAATGAGAGACCTCCTGAAAGAAATCCTGAAAAGTGTTTTTTATTATTGACAAGATTTGCGCAAAAATATATTCTTTAAAATAATATTTATTTTAAAGAATATATTTTTGTATTAAGGTAAAGTTCTGCTTCTGTGGCTAACATGAAATTCAACTCATTATTTTTTTATTTTTCTTGTGTTATAATATTGACTAATCTCAGGACTCGATTGCCTCTTTGCTCATCTTGATTTTTTAAATAAATGACAAACAAACTCATTCACTTAATTGGGGCCTGAGCGAATACAACCTGACCATGTCAGATTTAAGCTAAGCAGTGAATGGCCTAGTCAGTAGTGTAATGGTAGACCACGGTGAAACCTGTATTGTAGAAGTAACCACTTCTTCTCAGGTGTGTGGGAGTAAAAATACCCCTTGTCCTGGCTTATAGTCCCATTCTTATGAACCAAATCTTTTCAGATCAAAGAGGGAGAATGGCTCATTCTCAAAGTATTAATGGTGGATCACTTATTCCAAACATATATTTCTTGCATATTAATTACATACTGCATTGAAGTACTGGATATTTGATGTGTGCCTCTCTACAGGACCACCTATCCTGGTTGTCTAAGTCTTCTCCAACATGGCTTGATCTTCCCTGTTCGCTGCAGATAAAGCAGCGGCAGGAGCAGACTAGTCAACACGTTAACCCAGTAAGAAATGGCAGAATAAACAGTGGCATGAAACTTGCCTCCTTTTACAAAACCCCAAAAAATGCCCAGTAATAAATTAAAACTAAATTTCAAACACAGCACTAAGAAGATGGTCCCAATGACAAAGAAAGCAAGTTGTTTGGATTTGTCAACCTTCCCTTTGTCCAGTGGTGCGTCCCCTGGCTTTGGGTTGAGGAGGACTTTGAGGACAGCCATATTGCAGTAAAATATTGTTCCTAAAAAGACAACCATTTGGCATACATCTAGAATGTAAAAGCCAACCTCAAATCCAGTTTGAGTTGCAATGTAGAATAGAACAGAACTGATAACCCAAACCAGTCCTGAGCAGATGTTCCGGATCAGGATTCCTCTTCCCTTCTTGAGGCTCACGTACGTCATGGGATGCACCACTGCGACGTAGTGTTCGAGGACCGTAAAAACAGGGAACAGAAATTGTCCGTACCATGCAAAACTTCCCAGCTCATAAAAGACCATGCTTTTCTCATAATCATAAAAAATAATGAACAGAAGAGCAAAGTATCCTGCACATCCAACAAGCTCCATGACGGCGACGTTGTAAGCAAAGAAGTCGGAGTAGTTCACGAACCAAGACGGATCATGCTTCTTGGATTTCCATTGCTTGAATCCCAAATGAAGGACATAGACACAGAGAGGGAGGATAACGACGAGGGAGAAGATGGACGCTTGGACCCTCAGAATCACGTCAAAGGTCACAGAAGTGTTGGTCATGTTGTCACACTGAGAAAATAACAAAGTACATTTTTTGAATTGGTCATTTCTTACATAAACTTGCGCCTTGTTTCAATTCTTCTGCAGTCCTTTTGGTTTATAGCCTAAGAGGTGTTGTATTTAAATGAAGGTGTAATACAGTTAAATTAAGTGATTTGTTGGTATCATGCACCAGTACTACACTTTTTATTGAACTTGAATATCAAATGTTTTCCTGTGATTGTAGTTGCTTGCTCTTGTTTTGTGCAACATATCACAATTTATTCAGTTACGGTCTTATCGCAACATATATATTTTTTGTGAATATATTTAAAATGAATATATTTCAAACCAGTACAAAACCAAACATGTGTAAAACCAGGACTTACCCATCAATATTCAAACATAAATATTTTTGACATTTAAGTAAAAAGAAAAAAGAAAAACTTGAATTAGATCAAATGATTCAATTAAATTCTTTAAGAACTGCAGTCAAAATGTTTGATATTCAGCGAACGTGGGATGAGAGCTGGATGAGAACGTTAGGGCCAGTTGAATAACCCTGTCAGACTATAATTACAGCAGTTTTTCACTTTGAACACTTGTATGTACCTGAAAAAAAGCATAAAAACAAGTTTCTTAATTCATACCCTGAAGGATATGTGAATAATTCAAATTTAACTTCTTGAGAATTCACAAATATTGCAGAGCAAGGTTGAAAAGCACAGTTTGGCATCAACAGAACACATCGTGTCTATACTTTTTTCCTTTTCAATGAATCATTAATTATGACGGTAAAGCTCCACCTCCACAAAGTTAAGGTTCTGTTGATTTAAGTAAAAAGGTTCCACTTTTATCGCTTAAACAGAAAAAACGTACCTCTAAATCCAGCTGGTTCACAGACATTGCGGCATTCGCAGCAGTGGCAGGTGTTTCGTCTGTCCTAAAACGACTTCAAATGTGGTAATGGAAAAAGCATTTATCTAAATCATGGGACGTCGACTTACATTCAGCCGCACAGACCAGGGCCGAGACCACGCTTTAGTAACTTTGAATTATTTGAACGACAACAAACAAAGAGTCATTAATTGGCATTTTTAATATGAATATTTAAACAACTTTTCAGATACAAGAGGCCTGTTCGGGAGGAACAGAAAAACAATGTCAACTCTTTAGATCAGGTCACAAAAATAGTTGCACAGCTTTACATTCTTGCTGTGAATAATAATATTTGTTTGAAGTCTAAAAGCTGCAGCACTAATTTATCTAATCCACAGTTTAATGGATGCTTTTTGCAAATTGTTTTCAATGGAAAGCACACAAACTAAGCAAGATATATTTTTTCTCTGATTATCGTGAAAATTGAAAAGTTTCCCATTCACAACCGACCTTTGGGAAAGTTATAGAGGTTATAGCTAGTGTCACATTTTTAAGGATATGGAGGAGATCTATGTAGACACATTTTAACCGCATCAAAAGAAAAATTGAACTACAAAATCTTCCTGGACGACACCAACAATAAGATTTGGGAAGCGGAGGGATCGTCACTTGGGTCAAATAAAATCAAGACATTTTACAACAGTCTATCTCCTAATTCCAAATCTTCTCCCACACTGCTGAAGTTTCCCAGCTCTCTGCAGATAAAGCAGCGGCATTAGTAGACCAGTCATAATGTTAACCCAAAACAAAATCATATGGCAAAAAATCTCAACACCTTTCGATTGATCTACTTTCACTATTCCCCAGAAAAGGCAAAGCAAGACATTGAACAGAAGCTTTAAACTGAGCACTACCAAGACCAGCACAATGACAAAGAAAGCATATCGTTTGGATTTTTTAACCTGCCCTTTGTCCCGTACAGCGCCCCCTGGCTTTGGGAGGATGAGGACTTTAAGAACAGACACATTGCAGTAGAATATTGTCCCTAAATATACAACCATTTGGCATGTATCTCCAACGTAAAACCCAACATTGTAACCAGTTCTCATTGAAATTGACATGAACACAAGCGTGACAACCCAGGCCAGTCCAGTGGAGATGTTCCGGATCAGGCGACCTCTCCCTGTCTTGAGGCTCAGGTAGGTCATGGGATGCACCACCGCCACGTAGTGTTCGATGACCATGTAAACCGGGAACAGCATTTCTCCGTACCACAAAAAACATCCCACGTTAAAAAGTGTTTCGCCTTTCTCACGATCGTAAAAAATGACACAAAGAACGCCAACAAATGCTGCACATCCCACCAGATTCATGATGATTAGGTTATAGGTGAAGAAGTCTGAGTAGTTTATGAACCAGGATGGATCGTTCCTCTTGGCTTTCCATTGGTTGAACCCCAAATAAAGGATATAGATGCAGAGCGGGAGAGTAAATACAATAAAGAAGAGAGACACTTGAGTTTCCAGGTACAGTTCCATACTCACAGAGGTGTTGGTTGCCATGTTTGCGCTCTAGGGAAGGTGAAATTATACATTTAGTTTACAGATTTCTTTTTGTGGCTCCACTGAAAATCTCTTTGACACCCATGTCTCATTGTTGTAGGTGAAATTTCCAAATAGATTTTCTCAAATCATTGGACCTTTGTTTGAAACTGAAAGAAGGAGATGTAGATTTCACCCATTAGAGTAGCGATACTTAGACCATTTTATAGTAATCTTTATCTATTTAGCGCCTTCAACAGACCAGAGTCACACAGCGCTTTGTAATTGTTACGGGCATTTGTTCTCTCATTCCACACTCTTTATGAAGATTGTATTGTACTGTAAGAGTTTTACAAACACTCATAGTCCTGACACAAACTAACCTTAATAATGTGAAAATTCTTACCTTTAAACGCAGCAAATACGCTAAACCGAGAGGGATTTCTCTACAATGCAAATGGAAAGCAGTATGGAAATATGTGCAGTGTGCCAATGCATGGTGTGTAGTACATACAAATGAGAAACACAACCCTCTGGTATTTGCTTTTTTTTTATCAGAACAATGGTGTGCAATGCAAAGTGGGATGATGGGTTTTCAGTAACGCATAATACCACAGTGATGACAGCCCTAATGTCAGTGGTTATCAAACATTTAACACAAAGTACCAGCTTTTGGCCTTTCAACTAACCACTGTTTACCGAAGGTCAAAAGAGATTTATAGATCTATATTTTGGTTTGTCCAGATTTTCAAAAAGTGAAAAAAATATAAAAAAAATGTTTAGCAGCTACTACATTATTTACATATTCCATTCATATGATAATTCTACTCTGACAATCCACTAGCCACTTTACCGACTGATATTATTACTATTGTTCATTTTGGTCGGATTCTCCGCAGCTAAAGCGTTCAGTGTGCACTCCACAAGAGACTTATCCTTGAATGATACCTCCAGAGTTTGTTATCTCTTTTATTCTATCATCTATCATCTTTTTGATATATATAGAAGGCCTGACAACCCATGACAGATGGCAATAACAATTCAAAACAACCAAAGACAACCAAATATGTCCTTCGCATCCAACAAAAATATACATGCAGACATCAATCATTATTAAAAAAGGAAAAAAGGATGGACAAAGCAGGAAAAGATATGTATTTGTGTCTATTATTGTAAAAAAAAAAATCAATCCTGTTTGATGTGTGCATATCCTGAGCGCTCTTAATTTTTTCTATTTATTATATTTGCTGTAATGTGTGCACCTACGTCACTGAAATGTACTCACTGAGGGACGAATAACGGTATATCTTATCTTTAAATGATTACCTACAAACTTTGGCATGTGATTGGCAAAACTAATTTAGGGGCAATAATTTTTAAAATGCAGAAAACTTCACTCTCTTCTGTTCCAGGACTGAGACTGGAACTTTTTGACAGAAGGGGCAGAGTGATATGTTTAGGCCATTAGTTACTCACATAGTAGTATTAGTGAGAATTTATTTCTAACGTTATGCAAAAGAAAACAATACAAACAACAAACAAGATGCAAATAAATATAATAATAATGCATCAGTTTTATAAAGTGCTTTTTTGGTCACTCAAAGACGCTTTACTTGTCATTATTCATTCCCTCCATACAAATAATAATAAAAAAGACAACAAATAAACAGAAATAAACCTTTTGAAAAATCAGCCAAACACAATCACACACACAACATAAGAGGCCCGAACACTCTCTGACCATACACTTCGGTGGGTGTGGATGGATCTCCCCCAGTTAACAGACGACCCAAGCAAGTCAAACCTTTTCATATCAAGAGCTGCATCGTACTCGTGTTCAGGCAGAGCACTGCCTGCTTCATGTCTTCTTTACTTTCTCTAAAACATCAGTTTTCCTCATGGAGACTTTATTTCTGAGCAGAGCAGCATGCTGGTCATCTCGGACAGAACATGTGTAATGTTCAATTATGTTTCCTGTGAGGGATAGAGCTGCTACAGATAAAATATGTGAGTATAATAGGGCGGTGCGTTGGTTAGCGCTTGTGCTTCACAGCAAGAGGTTCTGGGTTCAAATCCATTTGTAGATCTAACCATGTATGTTTTCTCCTGGTGCTCCAGTTTCATCACTAAAAGATTGTAGAATAGTCCCCCATAACACCCTCCACAACCCCACTCCCTCTCTCTGGGTCCAGAACTTCCCTGATAAATAGATTCTGCAATCTCAGTGGGAGTCTCCTGGTTAGATAAAGCCCACTACATCAATAATACCCTTGCCACATCATGCTTAGGTACTGCCCAGAAGTGATCTCTGTCAATTGTCCGTTTCTTTGTTTGTCTGAGCAATAAAAGTTAGGATATGTGCCCAATAGCCTATAGTGAACAACTGATTACATTTTGGAGGTGATCCGACTCACTGTCTGGATGAAGGAACTTTTCAAGGTACTTTTGCAACCTCTGCACTTTTTGCTGTTTGAAAATTAGGAACCCCAGTTTTATCATAATCTAGAAATTGTGTTTTTAATAGTTTCATGCTTTATCTCATAAAGATGTTAGCATATTGCTTCTTTGTTGCCACTTGTTCTGCACATTCTCTGCAACTCATCATTTATTTTCTTTCACTTAGAAATGGATATTAACGTCTCCAGCTCCTCGGCCAACTTCACTCTTACAGAAGACTGCACACAATATTTCGACACCATCGTCGTTTTTGCTGCTTGGTTCATCTTCAAAAGCGTCATTATTCTGCCTTTAAGCATAACAATATTGTGTGTTGGATTCCAGCATTGGCGACATCACTCCTTCCAAAAAATCACCAATTCCGACTACTTGACCTACAACTTATGCTTTATGGAAATTTTCAGCTCTTTTGTAGGAGTATATCAGGACATTTAGCCAATCACCATGTAACGTCTACTGTTGGATACAATTTGTTTAACCTAAATGTACTATCTGAAACTTTAACACATTCCCTAATTTGCCTGGACATATATTTGGCAGCCATTCATCCAGTGTTTTACCTAAAATCTCATGAAATCACAGTTAAAATAGTTACTTTTGGCATTATTGCTATATGGGTGATGGCTTTTTCAATCACCTCATTAGGATTCTATACATTTCCACAAAAGCCATCTGCTTTTTGTGTGACAATTATAGGGTTTAGCTTGATAATATCTGTTTTCTGTGAAGTTTGCATGCTCAAAGTTTTGCTGCAGCCTGGTCCAGGCCAGAGCGGGAAAGTGGACAAATCCAAAACGAAGAGCCTGCCACACCGTCTTAGCGATCGCCATCTTCTCTCTGTTTTGGTTCATTGGCATCATAATTATTCTCCTGGTCATTGAAAGTCATGTTTTGGATTTTAAATCATCTTGTACGATTTTTGTGTTTGGTTTCTGGTTTACTTTTCCCAGTTTTTTGGTTTTACCACTGAGTTTTCTACAAAAGCACAAAAAATCTTTTTTTACCGTATCCATGTGAAGTCAACCAAGGCCTGTAGCTAGAACGGGTGTTGGCAAACTCTGACTTGTGGGGTAAATTGTGTGTTAACAAATACAAAGAAATCCAAATAGGGGTTAATCACTCCATCACTATAAACAGTGTACTATCAGTGTCTCACAACCCAGAGCTAACCTACGTTCGGACTATAACTCCCGAAGTGTATTGACACTTTTGTTGTACATAATTATTGTCACTTTATTGTACATATATATCCTGCATGTAACATGTTTGCACATTTCCTCCCTTTGCACAATCTGAGTGTCTCTATCCATGCCAAATGTGACATGTAAATTTCTCCTATGTGAGATAAATAAAGCTTATCTTATCTTTTCATAGTAGCTGACATGAATGATGAACAGTGTTGGGGTAACGTGTGTTAACTAATGACAGTGTAGTAACGTAACACTGTTTCTTGCGGCAACGGCACGAGTTTCGATTGCCGCATAAGCAAAACTCATTACGTCAAACCCGTTATTATTATAGATCCATGCGCCAAACCCATTTGTTTATTTTGTGATCGTAACCGCTCTGGTTGTTGTGGTCTTTGGTTTTTTTTATAGTCCTGCTATGTGGGAGTGTGATGAATAGCCAGTGCTTTGAGGTGAAGCTGGTATGTCTTAATATATCTTTTAATTTAGCTCAGTTGGTAGAGCAGTGGCCTTTGAGCCTGGAGGTTGTGAGTTCGATTCCCACCATGGGACCTACTCCAACTGCTCCCACTGATGTCTACTGTCGTTGTGTCCTTGGGCAAGACACTTAACCCCACGTTGCCTGAAGCCCCTGCTGAAAGATCAAGGCTGTTTCACCGCTGACGGAGCAGCCATCTTCCTGTGGACTCACCCCCTGCAGAAGATCAGCGAGGGACTGGTGCTATGAGCGTTGGGTGGCAGCTCTCATTGCCACCCCCCTGACCCAGAAATGGACAATAAAGGGTTTGAAAATGAATGAATGAATCTTTTAATTTTGCCGCAATGCCTCAAACTCCGTCTGAATCAATGCCGTGCTGTTGTTCGCTGTTTCCAGTGGTGTCTGCTAGGCTAATGCTGCCGGGCTAATGCTGCTGGGCTAATGCCGGTTGTTTTTCTGCTTTCTGCTGGCTTCTGAGCCTGCGCTAGCTTTAGCCAATCAGCGCCGGGTTAACCTCAAGTCCCACCGGGGCCCAACGGAGTACCTAGCATGGAGGAGGGACTCCGTTGGGCCCCGTAAAAGTTCCTGTAAATGAACCTGTGGGGAAAGTTCCTGCAGTGGAGACACACCGACGGGGCTGGCACTGGAAAAGTATCCCAAAGTTCCTGCGGTGGAAACGCGGCTATGCACTTAACAATAATGTGCAGTTAAATGTCTATTGTGTGTAATTATATAGTAGAATATTACTAAGATTTTTTGTACGTGCCTTATCCATTTTTATTTACTTCTACTTTTTTTATAACTTGTTTTTAACATAGGCCAAAGCAAATTTCTACTTTGTGACTTCCTGTTACTTTCAATGGCAATGAAAATGTTGCTGACTCTGATTCTTAGTGCACTCTCCAGAGGAAACTAATAGCCCTCAGTAAAATAATCCCATACTGCCAACTCTGAGGATCTGATAAAGTGTATACTGTAGGTCTGGTCCTGTATGGTATAGTTCATCTTGCTTACATATTCTTCCCAATCATGTATCAATGTTTAATATGTATAAACAGTTAATTCTCACATATACTGTTCATACATTAGGAAAAATGGTGTCACTGATCACAGTCAGGAAATGTCATTTATCTTTCACCTTTCACTCCACATTTGCCTCTCTTAAACATTAGGCCGAAGAAAAAGGCAAAGTTTATGAAAATCTATGTTTATTAAAGGTGAACATATTCCATGACCAGAACAGATGCAGATTGTTGCACTGGAAGAATCACACTGAGGTTTGAGGCTTTTCTATTATGATTTTATGGCTTTTATTTGTTTTATCAGGTTGGAGTTCAGAATTGTTTTAGCGAGATGATGTCTTTGTTTACTGTTTTTACTTTATTTGTAAAGTAATCAATCTCTGCAACAACAATTGTCTCTTTAAAGATTACCCCACTGAAGGAACATATTGTTTTTCATTAATTCTCATGAAATGGGAAAAGGTTTGTGGTTATTTCATCCATCCAAGCAGATAAATGTATGCATGATATTTTTAGGTGGGATTAAGTATTGGTTGTATGTTCTTCAATATATTACAATTATATAACAATCAATATGTTAATTTCAATTCATTTACATTTCGTAAAGCCCAAATCACAACAGATCAGAGAATCTAACAATTCGAACAGCTATATGAGACATCACACTTAAGGTTGACTATAATAAAATATAAAGATAATCCATCCATCCATACATACATTTTCTTCCCCTTAATCCATTTCGGGGTCGGTTGGGTGGCAGTCAGTGCTAGACCCAATTCATATAGCACCAGCCCTGTGTAATAAAATAATAATGAATAAAATCACTGTATATCCATCACACAGACCTATTTTTAAAAAAAACAATTTTATCACATGTTTAAAGATCTAAAGATAATATGTTTTCTAACAAGATGAAGACATCATGATGTGGCCTGATCTTACCTTCACTCTTTCTGTTGGGAAAAACAAAATGTCTTGTTCATTATTCATTATTAGTATTTTCTCTCTCTTCAGATACTATGTCCTTATTCAACGTCTCAGAAGCGATCACCCTTTTTCTGTGCACTGCTGCAGTTCCCAAACAGCTCCTGATATGGTGCACGGTGGTGAAAACTCTGCTGCTGGTGCCTTTGTTAGTATCCATCTTGTGCTACGGCTTTCGCCAACTTCGCCATCAATGCCGAACGTCACAGAAACCCATCAGCCATTCCGACTTTTTCACTTATCACTTAGTTTCCCTCGAGATGTTAGCGGCTTTGGGATATGTCTTGTACCTGTGTGGTCATTTTCTCAAAGTTAAGCCCGTGGATGTCGCCGGACAATTGTTAGCTGCGGTTAGCTTTCCCAGCGAGCTTCTGATAGACTCCTTGACTTGCGTGGATCGGTATATGGCGGTCGTGCATCCTATGATCTACATGAAGCTACGACAGAGGAAAGGCATTGTCGCTAGAAACGTTAGCATAGCCATGGTCTGGGTCCTCTCCCTCAGTTGTATTGGATTGACATATTTCTACAATCCATCATATCCCAAACATGAATACATCGCCTTGTTAGTCGTGTCTTTGGTTATCGTCTCTTTCTGCAGTGCCGCCGTTCTTTGTGTTTTGGTTCGTCCAAAGCCTGGCGATGCTCATGGTAATCAGAACAACACGGATCAATCAAAACTACGAGCCTTTAAGATTACAGCAGTGATATTATCTGTACAAGTGACGTGGCTGCTAGGTTTTCTGATCGGTGTGGCCATCGAGAATGCGGGAGCGATGAACAAGGAAATACATTGCATTTTGATGGGATCTGTAGCCTGGTTCAACATCCCATGCAGCCTCGCCTTGCCCCTTTTATTCCTCCAAAAAGTAAAAAACAAAAGTTGAAATCAAATATAGCTAGCTACACACAGACACGGACACAGGGTATCCAGTCTTATTTCAGCCACATTTGCTCCTCCTCAAGTTTAGAAAGTTGTGACCATTGTAGTGATTCTCGAAAGTGATTAATTGTTAGATTAGACATTTCAATCTTTTTTCATAAACTGTTGGTTGAGTCACTGTAATGCATAGGCCAGAATTTCTAGATGCAGCAAGGGATTGGAGGGGGTTGTTTTGGGGAGCAGAGGAACACATCTCCTCTACTTGCGAATCCTGTTGGCTTCATCAAACCAGCACAAGCATCAGCACTTCCAAAGTCAAAGCCATGATTCTGGATCCGAGACAGGTCCTTCCTCAAGTGAAGTAGTTCAAGTATCTCAGACGAATCGCTTCAGCGTATGCAGTGACGGCGCCGTTTTTATTGAGCTGGTGTGAAGAGGGAGCTGAGTCCAAAGGAAAAGCTCTCAATTTGTATCTACAAGCTGACCTAACTGTCACCCTCAATGTAGTGATATAATTATACATAATGGTTAGAAATGGCATTCCAACCACATTAATTAAGAATCCTATAGACAAACAAGCATGTCACTATCATAGGTCTAGGTTCTCTCAGCTGGCCTTGGAACATTTTGGGGAATAAATGTTTTTTTATATAAGTCTGGGTGTCTCCCTGCAACCCGGCAACGTATAAAGTGGAATTATGATGAAAAGGAATAATAAAATAAATTGTTAATAAGATAAAATAAGATAAAATAAGATAATATTGACTTTTTGATATCACACAGGACAAATGTACATGTCACATTTGGCATGGATAGAATCACTTAAGACTTGCAAAAAACAGAAGTGTACGAACATGTTAAAGACTAAAAATATAGTCTGTGCAGGATTTAATTATGTACAATAAAAAGTGGCAATTAAAGAAACAGTGGCAGTAGTAGCGCAGGTAATGCAGATAAAAGTATGATAAATGACCATTACCAAGAAGCATACTGTTCAGATGCCCAAGTAGTTAGAGGGTCATGGTGTGGATTTTGTTAATTTTGAACTTTTGTTTTATTTTCTTGTGTTTTTGTGTTTCACCTGTATCTCTGTGTCTATATGTACCTGAGCTCTTCCCCATTTGTTGCTGGTCCATCGTCCATGTCTGTCTGTTTTCCTGGTCCCTGAGTTTTGTTTGGATTTTTGGTTCTTTTTCACCCTGGACTTATACTGTATGTGTTTCCTTCAATAAATCATCATTTTTGCCTTCCTGCATTTTGGGTCCTCTTTCATTTCACCACATAGAGGGGATCAATATGTACCAGTAACTGTTTCTCTTCACGTTTACAAAAGCTATTTGAAGATGAGGACAGTTGATATTGTGTGTAATATAATGTTTAATACTTAAAAGATAACATCAGTTGAACATCAATGCAATTTACTTTAGAAGAAGAGAACTTTGCAAATGTATCCAGTGCAATTCTAGTGAAGCATGGACTAAACAGACTTTTCCACCTTCGACCCACTGCTTGAGGGCGCTTCTTAAAACAAATAAAAACATAGATATGAGAAAATGTTCTTAAAGCTGATTGTTTTTGTAAAAAGTTCCGAGTATTTGTCTCTTACGTTTGTGTTTCTTCTTGTTGACAACACTGTACACTGGATCCGGACAGTTCTGCTTCTGCTCTAAACATGAATTTAATGTTTGTTAATAAAATTGTATAAATGAATAATTCTCTCACTCATGCACTGCACATGTTGCACTTACTCTTTCTCTTCTTATTGACAGAAGCGTAAAGCATTTCAGCATCAGCGCTTTGTCCACCTGCTAAAAGTTCAAACAATAGAAGATTATTGTTAGGTTAATCCTTCAATGCTCGCTCCTTTTTTGTTGTTGTTGAAGATGTGGGACACTAATAACACAACACATTTCAACCCCTATTTTTTTAATATTCAAAAAATTAAAGTCAAACTATGGCTCAAAAGGAACCAAACTTGTGAGCACAATGCAAGACTCTAATCATCTATTGTAATTTGTTTCTGTACTATGTAATCTGTGGGGTTATTTTTGTTTGTTATTTAGTATTACTTATTTACTTATTTTTTTAATATAATGATGCATGTATAATGTAAATGTGATGTATTTCTATGTCTTAGGGACCAGGTCTGCAAACTAGCTGTTAGCTGGTTCCTGTAATAATGCTTCTTGTTCTGTCCCTATCAAATAAACACATAATAATGGTAATATAAGCCTTTAGCAAATGTTTGTGATGTAGTTTGATGTAAAAGTAACACATCTCCTAGCTTCAAGAGTATATAGAGACTCAAAAAGTGATCCACCAAATGGTTCAGGAAACCGTTAAAGGGTTAAGAGTACTATCATCAAGCATTGTTTGTGTCACAGTGAGAGAAGGCCTTGGGGAAGCCCTCAGCTGGCCTGGGAATACCTCAGGATCCCCCAGGATGAGGTGGAGAGTGTGTGGAGGGGGAGGTCTGAGCTTCTCTGCTCAGACTGCTGCCCCCCGTAACCAGGCAACAGTTAACTCATTGACCGCCATTGACGTATTTGTCTGAGACCCTCTATTCGACCGGGGATTACAGGACAATAAAAATAGCTAGAAAGAAACTTATTTTATCTGATCAAAGCAGACAATCCAGTCTTTCAGAATCTGGTTTCATATTTCACATAGTCTTAGGAAATAATAATCTGTGGGGTCTTGAGAATCAGTGAAATCATCAAAAACGGCTGGTGGTCAATGAGTTAAAGGTCAATAAAGTGAGCATGCGTTCATTTTGGCCCTAAAACATAATGATGAGAATATTTACTCATGGTATGTCTTGTTTTCAGACATGCGTGTATAATGGAATTGATCAACATGTGCAACTACTTCCTCTAGTGGTCGGGAAAAACGAGAGAAACGAGAGAAACGAGAGTGCTGCCGTTACTTTGCTGACCACCAGTTTTACCATTTATGTCCTGAGTATCAAAGTTGTTGTTGCTGATCTGAGAATAGAGACACGTTTCTTGAGGCTCCACGACTGGAACACAGACATAAAACAGGTGTAAATGTTGGTTGTGGCGCTTGTGGGACTTAGAAAGTGCAGTTATAAGATGTTTCACTTCCACCACGCACAAAGTATTAAAGGAAGTGTCACAAACTTTGGCGCAGACTGTCATTTTAAACTTGAACTGTTGAATAAAATCACTTCAAAAATAAGTTTCCAGTTGAACTAATGAGCTTGAAAATAATGACTATGACCAATCAGTGAACAATTAAACAATAAACAATGAATAGGGTTTTCTTTAATGTTCAGGCTTCAGTCAAAACACTTCTATTTTGAAAACTTGTCTTTATTGGATGTGAACATATTGTGTGGGTTGTGTTGTGTACTTGCATGTACAGTATGTGGGGGTGTAGTAAGCTAACATTCCATCTGAAGCTGAAGTGGGAAAATACGTTCTGCTTTTTCTGACATGGTGTGATATATAATCTAAAAACATTTCTAATAACACCAACATTTTGCAAGACACATCAGAAATAATGTTTATGATGGACATTTGTTACCTTCATGTCCGGAGTCTTGTCGTTGAGCACATTTACCTGCGATCATTTAAAGAGAGAAAAGATGTATACATTTTTGTAGTATTTTCAAACAAAAACCATGACTTTACCTTTATATTTTCTATAGATGAACCCCAAAAGTAACAGCAGCAGCAGAGCAACTAATACAATGAGAAAAGACCATTTAAAGTCAGTTCCACCTGAAGCGTTGTGGACAGAAGTGGAGATCCCTCCTGGAGGACAGGAAAATACATGTTTAGGATTCTGACAATAATAGTTAAAAACAGTTATTGTTGTTTGTCAACATTGTCCAAATGATATTGATGACACAGATATTGTTTGTGTGTGAGTGAGTCATAATTTATAACTTGAAAAAAAGGGTAAAATACAAGTAAATCTACAAGTCCAACTAACTGGGGTTATGCTCGGTTAAATACCAGAAAATGTATGTATTGTGTTCCTACTAATTGTGTAAACAATGTTCAGCCCACACATTCGCCCCATGAGTCTCTGGCTTGAGCTCCATCATCATCTCCTCCAATAAATATAACTTAAAACATAATACCAATGATATTTGTAATGATATTTGTAATAGAACCAAAGCAAACGTCTTACCTGCCACAGCCAGCCACTGAGCCTCTGACTCTCTGAGCTCAGAGCTTTTACATTTATAAACTCCTTCATCTGTCTTGGACACTTCCATCAGCGTCAACTCTCCAGTGGAACTTCCTGTTCTCTCTTTGTCGTCTTTGTAGAATGAATATGTCACGTATGAAGCGGCCATCTTGTCTCTACATGAGAGGGTCACGCTCTCTCCTTCCTTCACAGGCTCATCTGGACACTCCAGGACCACAGCTGGAAAATATAATGTTATGTACCACACTCAAACTGATATTATTTATGTCAGATAAAAAACAAACTGAGAACAGGTCACAGGCTACTGAAGCTTTTACTATTTAAAGAGCCTCATTCTGACTCCCTAAAAAGGTGGATTGAGTTTGGGCTCTGTTTACAGACACGTTTGACTTTCAAAAGGATTATCAATTCAAAACCACATACAAAATAGCAGGTTTTGTTTTTAAGCTAGTTTTGACTCATATAGATTCTCACAAACGCAGATCGTGTCAGAGCAGTGATGGCTGTGTGTGGGTGAGTGTCTTTGATCATGTATTCATTCTTACCTTTAACTTTCAGCAGATTTTCCTCAGAGAACTCTTTAGAACCAGACGTGCCACACTTGTATCGTCCCTGATCAGACTCAGAGATGTTGTGGAGGATCATTTCTCCATTTCTCACATTTGACTTTATTGGGAGGCCATCTTTGTAGAAGTCAAATGTTGTATTTTGTTTGATCTTTGTAATGCAAAACAAACTAACGTTGTCTCCCACCACCACTGACCCAACCGGACTCTGCAGGATTACATTTGCCTCTACAGGACAAAATAATATCAAATATTAAAGATTTTATTTTGGATTAATAAATAAATAGAAAAACACAGAAAGTATCTGAAAACTGAAGAAAAACTGCAAAATAACTTTTTTAAAATTCAATGTAAAGTGCTTTTTCATCATCTTGCTTTCACTTGCTTTGTACAAAGCAACAGACAAATCAAAAACTCATCCTGAACTCATCATGAACTCATCATGAACTCATCATGAACTCATCATGAACTCATCATGGTTTCGTGTCAGTCATGGAGCAGTTAGAGAAGTACACGAGCTGCGTTAGCTTTTATTCTAATAAACTTTTGTTGATGAGCAGATGTGACTGTTGGTTTGCACCTCAGCAGCTCCATGTCTGTTTTTCCACAAAAGTGTAGTTGAAAATGATGATAAACCCAGACGTACCAGAGACTGTGATTCGGACTTTCTCACTCCTTTTGTCTTGGCTCTCGCACCAGTATTCTCCAGAGTCAGACGGATACACTGTTTGGAGGTGACATGCTCCAAATTGTTCGGTGCTTTTGTAACAGTTTACTTTAGTTTCTGTCACAATGTTCCGCAGCACCCTCCACTTGGTCATGTTGTTGAAGAATCCTCCACAAGTCACTGTCAGATCTGTGTACTGAAAGTACTGTTGGTGTGACAGGACGATACGAGGAACGATACGCTCTGCAAGACAAAAGACAAAATAATACTGTTGATCTTTCTAATAATCCTCAACTGCTGTTCTCTCTAAAGCAGAGGTCTCAAACTCCATTTTTGTGGTGTCCGCAGTAAGGTTGAGTGTGGGTGAAGCTCGGCCACATTAAGGGGTATGTTTATTTCGTGTTTGTGTGTGTGCAAAGTATAAACATCAGAGCAAATGGATTGATGTACAGCCATAGATCCGAGATAGAAGATAGAATCAAACCCCTAACATTTCACATGCTATTGTTCTTTACCTACGCAGTTTCACTCCTGATTAAATATAAAACATTTCTACTTCACAAACTCCTCCATCTTCTCCTCCTTTAATATTAGCAGAAGAGAAAGTAAAATTTTAGGCTCGTAGAATGAAGAGAAAAACAGGAAAACGGAGAATCAAGCCTTTGTGGAACGTGTTTGTTCTTTGTTTATATCTGTGACTTTTTACAATCATGAAAGTGTTTTGACCAAATAACTGCTTTTATTGAATATGAGTTCGATAGATCTTGTACATATTTCTATGAAAAGTATGAATCCAGCAGCTTGGATTGAAACAAACTGGACAAAAAGCAATGAGTCTTGTTCTTTGGATTAGGTTTATTAATGTTGCTTTTTGCATTCAAGGTTTAATGTTTAAGATAAATAAAATGGATGAATAAAATGGTGTTATTGTTTTCTTTACAAAATTAGCTTAAAGGTGATATATAATATGCCATACTTGCACTGACTCTCAATGGCGGTGCAAAAGAAGCCAATAGGAGGCCACAAAATACTGCCAGTGCTTTCATTTATTCATTTTCAAATGTGCACAAACTAAATGGACGATCTTACCTGAGTTGTCTGGTGTCTGTAGAAGTCCATTGTGAGCAGAAATCAGCACCAACACACACATCACTGCACACTTCATTTTTAACTCTTTTCTAATCTATACGATCTAAAAGTTTAGTTTGAGCTAATCTTTCTAAGACCAAACAGTCACTGTTCACGTAGACTCACTGATGGAGGATGTGGCTGCTTCGTTCTCAGAGGAGACTCTTCCTCTTCACCTGTTTATTTGTGGTTCTGAGAGTTTCACATCAGCAGAGTCAGTGAGAAGTCTTTATATAGAAGAGAGGGGTTTTGATGATGTGATTTCACTTGTATTTGATTCAACAAGAAGCAGAGGAGTCAAGTCGCACCTTATGCAGAGTGGTGGGATAAGAGCTGAGACTTTTCACAGAACTGTCTCCTGAGTGAAGAGACATGAGCTCCACGATGGGACGAGTTTCACCAAAACGCAGGAACTGTTTGAGAGTGAGTCGCTCCTCCAGTGGACTCGCCATCAGCAAGTGGTCAAGAGTGCGCCCCCTAGAGTCCTGCCGGAGAAAAGTTACATTACATCTATGACCAATCGTTTTTGTTGATTTCAGAAAAAAAAAAACCGACAACTTGGTGCTGTGTTTTTCATCAAGACACTTCACTTATTGTATGTTTTCAATGGAAGGGTATTGGAATCAAAAACAGAAATGGAGATCCATGCTAATATTTGGAGTATGTGGCATCATAATAATTGCATATAGAGTTGTATTTTCAAACAAATGTCTTCAAATTACCTCTGTATTTCTGCAGTCAAATTGCAATACAAGACAATACAATACAATTTATTCTTGTATAGCCCTAAATCAGCAGCCATCTCAGAGGATTTAACAAAACCATTGAAATCACCAACACAGATCAGAGAATCAACAGTTTAGACACAAAAAAGAATATCTTGTTTGTGTCTTCACTGTTTTAATTTATACTTGTAATTCCCACTTCAACCAGTAGATGGTAATGTTACCCTGATTTGGCTTTGCAAACTGCTGCTGAGACCCATGTAGTGAACACATATTTTCCACACAGAGACATTCATTTAAGTTACGAATAATCAAACTATGAATTAAAAATACTAAAGATCAAGGGCCAACACAGGCTTAGATTTTAATCTGGGGTATTTCACTTAGGATTTAACCCCAAAAATGCATCTATGTAATAAAATCCATCTCTCAAAGCATTTTCTCTCAATGTAGTGAAGTAATAGTAAAATCTTTAACTCTTACATTTTATACACAATTATATATGTTTTCTCTGCTTTAGGTTACAGTCATTTCATCCTGATACAAGTCTATATTAGGATGAAAAATAGTGCACAAATGTGGATGAGAAGAGTCAGTTGTTGTTATTTCTAGTGAAAAAAGGTGAAACTTTAGAACAATATGCTGTCCCTCTTTGAGAACCACTGACCTTGGACATAAGTAGATCGGGGACCAAAGGTGGAGCACAGGGAGTCCCAGCCTCCTGCTCCTACACTGAGGAGCACAGGGACTGGCCTCCTGTTGGTGCGCAGAGTCAGAACTAAACATGGCGAGAAAACTGAAAAGAATCTTCGTGAAAAAGTGAGACAGGTACAACGCTCCTGTTAGCAGTGCATACAACTGATTGACTTTTTCTCCTCTGTGATCATTTTATATTAACTTTTTTCTGAGTTTTCTTGCGTATGAATTGTGACTTTAGCTCAGCTTCCTCTCTGTGAGTCCAGGCTGTTTATTTTAGTATTTCATTAAGAGGGACTGTGCACAGCAACATTAAGCTCAAAGGCAGAAATGTTCCGTACCAGATATACCAGATACCAGCTATTGCTACAGAGCTCACTTCCATGTGCAATCCCCATCTGCTTTGATTTGGAGCAGAGCCTTGATGAAGACATTTAGGTTTCACTTTAAAAAAAATATATTGCAGATTCTGTTAAAAAAGGATCACATGTCCCTCCCTCAATGTAGTGATATAATTATACATAATGGTTAGAAATGGGATTCCAACCACATTCATTAACTTTAAGAACCCTATAGACAAACAAGCATGTCACTACTAAAAGCTAGCCTAACATTTTAAATGAAATTGTATTAATGCAAACAGGTCCAGGTTCTGCTCTCTCTGCTGGCCTTGGAACATCTTGGGAGGAAATGGTTGCGTATATAAGTCTGGGTGTCTCCCTGCGACCCGGCAACGTATAAAGTGGAATAAAGGTAAAAGGAATATTCATAATAGTAAATAGTTGTTAATACTCCTCAGGGCTAAATAAAAGTAAGATACATGACCATTACCAAGAAGCATACTGTTCAGATGTCCAAGTAGTTAGAGCAGGAGTGTCAAACTCATTTTGGTCCAGGGGCCGAATACCACCTAATCTGATCTCAAGTGGGCCGGACCAGAAGATGCTCTACAAAAATACCCAAAAACGGTACAAAGTCCAACTTTTTGTGCACATAAACACATTTATATAAAAGTTCCTTTAAAACACTGTCCTTTAATACTTGCTCAGTTTTTACTGTAAATCTGTTACAAACTTAAATGTAACAGTGAGTTTTTCATAGTGCAAATAATGCAATGTATTTACAATATTCACAGTATTTATATTAATAAATGTATGTTAGCTTTGTTTTAAGGCTCATACAGAGAAAACTTGCTCACAAAGGTAAAGTAGGTAGATAGAAAAAAGCACTTAAACACAGCACCTCGGCTTATCTTCAGTGTGGTAAGGTCCATGGTTATGTTATTATCACATTAACCATCTTCAGTGTGGTAAGGTCCATGGTTATGTCATTATCACACCATCTTCAGTGTGGTAAGGTCCATGGTTATGTTATTATCAGAGAGAAATCATCAAACTGACCATGATTCAGTTGAAATTAACAAAAACACTTCCATAACGGGATCTATTCTGAACGACTGCAGCAGTGTCTCTGTTTAAAATACAGTCAAATGTCCAAAAATCATCACCTCCATTTGCAGCTTTGTCACAACACCTGCTTTACCATCGGTAACAGGCTGAGAGGGCAGGACCAGTCCACACTGTTCAACACACCAGCAGCAGCAGCAGCACCACCAGCAGCAGCACCACCACCAGCAGCAGCAGCAGCACCAGCAGCAGCGCTCAAAACTCCTCTGTGATAGTTTCAGTAACACCACAAATGAATATGCGACATCAGTCACATCAGTCTCTTATCAATGTTGGTGACAGCGAGTAGTTTCTCAGACCCTGTCAGCAGTCTGTATAATAGTTTTAAACTCTGCCTCACTGTGCGGCTGTGATGCTAATGCTATGTTTGAAATGTCTCCACTGTGAGACTAATAAAGGTTTATCTTATCTTGTCTTTACAGCAGCAGCACGAACCTCTTGCTCTGGGCACAAACCATGGCACAAACAGACTGCTGTTTCTTCAGGACCATGTTTATCTTCTGTCTTCTCAATTCTCCGCTCAAAGTGTCGTATCGCCGAGTCTCGTGAGCCGTGGGCCGCATCAAATCTCTTGAATGAATGACACCCCTGAGTTAGAGGGTCATGGTGTGGATGTTGGTACTTTTATTTTAACGTGAATTCTTCTGTGGTTATGTTTTGGTTTGACTTCCTGTCCTGTTGCCCTGTGTGGATAGTCTGCCCTGCCCTCATGTGTTTCACCTGTATCTCTCTGTGTCTATATGTACCTGTCCTCTTCCCCATTTGTTGCTGGTCCATCGTCCATGTCTGTCTGTTTTCCTGGTTCCTGAGTTTTGTTTGGATTTTTGGTTCCTTTTTACCCTGGACTCCTGTTTGCTTTCTTCATTTCATCATTTGATATAGACTTTTCAATCACTTTCATTTCACCACATGACATAGAGCGGTTCAACATGTACCAATAACTGTCTAATCTTCATGTTTACAGAAGTTAACGTTTACAGTATATAGGAGGATTTTCTACTTCCGGGTGGATCATCAAGAATATTGGTCCTTCTGGAGATACGTGCTCGTCAAATAAGAGCAGACACTTTTGTTCTTAAAGTGGAGAGGATGGTTCTTTCCTAAAATGTGGGAAAATCCTCCTATATTATGGAAGACTATTGGCACCTTAATTCAATTGTCTATTCATTTGTCAAATGGCTATGCATTATGTTATTTTAGTATTTATTTTGTATTTGTATTTGTCAAAGTAATGTTATATCCAATTTTGACATTTAATGTTCTATTCCAAAAGTTCTAATGGCAATTCAATATGTAAAGTGTCGATACAATGTCTTTATATATTGCAAATGACAAGATTTTGAAATGAATAGCATATTGACATGGAATTTTGGCCTCTTTATTCATTATTCTTAACATGGCATTTAGTTTAAAGTTGTATTTGGCAAAATTGCATGTTATATCCTATTTTGACTTGTATTCCACATTTGAGTATGTTAAGTTTCATTTAATGTGTTGTGAAACAGCACCTCCCTCTGGATTGCATTGCATATTGCATATTGCATATTGCATTGCCACATGGTTTGAGTGCAACTTAATTCAATATGCTATGCAGTTCTTGACCCCTGGGAAGGCGGGCCCTGGTCCGCTCTCGGCCAATCAGAGACGAGTCTATATCCTCCTAGCTAGATGCGCTGTGTTGTTGATTTTTGCTGGAAGTAAATGCTGTTATGACGGATTGGAAGTAACAGATTGCCCTTTATGAAGATTCCACGTTACTCAAAGGAGGTTATATGTAAGTAAAAACTCCTTTTCTGTTATCTGTTACTTCCAATCCGTCATAACAGCATTTACTTCCAGCAAAAATCAACAACACAGCGCATCTAGCTAGGAGGATATAGACTCGTCTCTGATTGGCCGAGAGCGGACCAGGGCCCGCCTTCCCAGGGGTCAAGAACTGCATAGCATATTGCACTCAAACCATGTGGCAATGCAATATGCAATATGCAATGCAATCCAGAGGGAGGTGCTGTTTCACAACACATTAAATGAAACTTAACATACTCAAATGTGGAATACAAGTCAAAATAGGATATAACATGCAATTTTGCCAAATACAACTCTAAACTAAATGCCATGTTAAGAATGAATAGAACAATGAATAAAGAGGCCAAATTTCCATGTCAATATGCTATTCATTTCAAAATCTTGTAATTTGCAATGTATAAAGACATTGTATCGACACTTTACATATTGAATTGCCATTAGAACTTTTGGAATAGAACATTAAATGTCAAAATTGGATATAACATTACACTTTGACAAATAAGAATACAAAATAAATACTAAAATAACATAATGCATAGCCATTTGACAAATGAATAGACAATTGAATTAAGGTGCCAATAGTCTTCCATAATATATAACTTTAATTAAAGATGAGGACAGTTATGATATTGTGTGTAATATAATGTTTAATATTTAACAGAACACATACATTCAAACATCAAAACAATTTACTTTAAAAGAAGAAAACTTTGCATTTGTTATTACTGCTTCATAAAAGAGTTAACGCTGTTTCCAGTGCAATTCTAGTGAAGCACAGACTAAAAAGACTTTCCCACCTCCGACCTACTGCTCAAGGGCTCTGCTTCTCTAAAAAGAAATAAAAACATAGAAATGAGAAAATGTGCTTGAATCTGATTGTTTTTGTAATAGTTTCTATTTGTCTCTTACTTACATTTGTCTTCTGGTTAGCAACACCGTACGCTGGATCCTGACAGTTCTGCTTCTGCTTTAAACATGAATATAATGTTTGTTAATAAAATTTTATGATGCATTTTGATCATTCTCTGCATATTGTTACACTTACTCTTTTACTTCTTATCGACAGAAGCGAAAAGCACATAAGTGCTTTGTCCACCTGCTAAAAGTTCAAATAATAGAAGATTATTCTTAGGTTCATCCTTCAATGTTCACTCTTTGAAGAAAGCAATGGGCCTCATTCACGAATAACTTCATAAGAAACTACTCAACTTTCTTCTCAAGTTGTCCTTAAGTAGATTTCTAAGAAGTCCCCACGTGGGATTCATCAACGCACTCGTAAGCCGCTGAATTGTTCGCAGCTGTTCTCTCAGATTGATGAATCCCATTTCCTCGTAAGTACAGCGCGCGTGCCAGGTGCTTCATTAGCATAGGTACTTAGCATAAGTAACCGCCCACTAATGCCCATATAAGGGACTGCAGGGCCGTGTGCAGACGGCAGAGGAAACAGCAACAGGCCTAAAGCAACAGGCCACGGAGCAAAAGAGTCACCCTTTCTTCTTTTACCAAACTGAGAATAAAGTTATAAAATGTTGACTTAAAAGTCGAAATGTTATGATAATAAAGTCGAACTAGCAAAATTATGAGATTAATCTAAGAATATGATGAGATTAATCTCAAAATGTTATGAGCTTAATTTAAAAATATATTATGTATTATTTTAAAGATGAATCTCAAAATGTTTTGAGATTAATCTCAAAATATTTTGGACCCTGGGAGGAGATCCAGCGCGGACCAGCGCTGAGACCAATGCAGACCCGAGGAGAGACTGGAGTGACCAGCACACAGAAACCAGCGCGGACCTATAGGAGAGACCGCATAGACTGGAGTGACCTGACTGGAGAGACCGGTGCGCAGAGACCAGCGCGGACCGAAGATAGACCGCATAGACCAGACTTGAGAGACCAGCGCGGACCCGTATGGAGAGAGACCAGTGCAGACCCGTATAGATCCATGGGAGACACCAGCGCAGACCCGTCTAGATCCATGGGAGAGACCAGTGCAGACCCGTATAGATCCATGGGAGAGACCAGTGCAGACCCGTATAGATCCATGGGAGAGACCAGTGCAGACCCGTATAGATCCATAGGAGAGACCAGCGCAGAGACTCAGCGCGGACCCAGTAACCTCCTGCAGCAGCAGTATATATGCCGTTGTTCTGTGGCCCGTGGATGAAGAAATGCCCCCTATAAATAGGAAGGGGTCACTAATACACGGCAAGATTTCCAATGTATTTGATAAAGCGTTGGCACATTTCATTTCAAAATGAATTAAAAAGTAGGCCAGATCTGCAGTGAAAAAGGCGGTATATAAATAAAGATTACTAATAAAGATTACTACAAATAAATAAATACATACATCGATATGACGGACATATCACTGGAATGTTGTATTTTTATTAAACTTCACCAAAGAGGACAACCCCGGCGTGTGAACATGTCGGCACTGAATGCGTACGAGTGCTCCTGAGGACTCGTAGGATTTGTACTTGCCCAAGACAAATTCTGGTTACGAGAAATATTCGTGAATGCCACTTTCTTCGTAAAAACCGCGTAAGTAGGATTTACGTACAAATCTGTTCCTAAGAACCGTTCGTGAATGAGGCCCATTGTTTTTTGTCAACATTGTCCGAATGATATTGATGACGCAGATTTTGTTTGTGTGTGAGTGAGTCATGATTCATAACTTGCATCACTCAGCTAAACAAAAAGGGTAAAATACAAGTAAATCTACAAGTCCAACTAACTGGGGTTGTGCTCGGTTAAATACCAGAAAATATATGTATTGTGTTCCTACTAATTTGTGTAAACAATGTTCAGCCCACACATTCGCCCCATGAGTCTCTGGCTTGATCTCCATCATCATCTCCTCCAATAAATATAACTTAAAACATAATACCAATGATATTTGTAATGATATTTGTAATAGGACCAAAGCAAACGTCTTACCTGCCACAGCCAGCCACTGAGCCTCTGACTCTCTGAGCTCAGAGCTTTTACATTTGTAAACTCCTTCATCTGTCTTGGACACTTCCATCAGCGTCAACTCTCCAGTGGAACTTCCTGCCCTCTCTTTGTCGTCTTTATAGAATGAATATGTCACATTTGAAGCTGCCATCTTGTCTCTACATGAGAGGGTCACGCTCTCGCCTTCCTTCACAGGCTCACCTGGACACTCCAGGACCACAGCTGGAAAATATAATGTTATGTACCACACTCAAACTGATATTATGTTTGTCAGATAAAAAACAAACTGAGAACACAGACTACTGAAGCTTTGACTATTTAAAGAGCCTCATTCTGGCTCCCTAAAAAGGTGTTTTGAGTTTGAGCTCTGTTTACAGACACGTTTGACTTTCAAAAGGATTATCAATTCAAAACCACATAAAAATTAGCAGATTTTGTTTTTAAGCTAGTTTTGACTCATATAGATTCTCACAAATGCAGATCGTGTCAGAGCAGTGATGGCTGTGTGTGGATGAGTGTCTTTGATCATGTATTTATTCTTACCTTTAACTTGCAGCAGATTTTCCTCAGAGAACTCTTCAGAACCAGACGTGCCACACTTGTATCGTCCCTGATCAGACTCAGAGATGTTGTGGAGGATCATTTCTCCATTTCTCACATTTGACTTTAATGGGAGGCCATCTTTGTAGAAGTCAAATGTTGTATGTTTGATCTTTGTTATGCAAAACAAACTAACGTTGTCTCCAAACCACCACTGACCCAACCGGACTCTGCAGGATTACATTTGCCTCTGCAGGACAAAATAATATCAAATATTAAAGATTTTATTTTGGATTAATAAATAAATACAAAAACACAGAAAAGTATCTGAAAACTGAAGAAAAACTGCAAAATAACACATGAGTTTGATTTTTTTAAATTCAATGTAAAGTGCTTTTTCATCATCTTGCTTTGTACAAAGCAACAGACAAATCAAAAACTCATCCTGAACTCATCATGAACTCATCATGAACTCATCATGAACTCATCATGAACTCATCATGGTTTCGTGTCAGTCATGGAGCAGTTAGAGAAGTACACGAGCTGCGTTAGCTTTTATTCTAATAAACTTTTGTTGATGAGCAGATGTGACTGTTGGTTTGCACCTCAGCAGCTCCATGTCTGTTTTTTCACAAAAGTGTAGTGTATGTTGAAAATGATGATAAACCCAGACGTACCAGAGACTGTTATTCGGACTTTCTCACTCCTTTTGTCTTGGCTCTCGCACCAGTATTCTCCAGAGTCAGACGGATACACTGTTTGGAGGTGACATGCTCCAAATTGTTCGGTGCTTTTGTAACAATTTACTTTAGTTTCTGTCACAATGTTCCGCAGCACCCTCCACTTGGTCATGTTGTTGAAGAATCCTCCACAAGTCACTGTCAGATCTGAGTACTGAAAGTACTGTTGGTGTGACAGGACGATACGAGGAACGATACGCTCTGCAAGACAAAAGACAAAATAATACTGTTGATCCTTCTAATAATCCTCAACTGCTGTTCTCTCTAAAGCAGAGGTCTCAAACTCCATTTTTCTGGTGTCCGCAGTAAGGTTGAGTGTGGGTGAAGCTCGGCCACATTAAGGGGTATGTTTATTTCGTGTTTGTGTGTGTGCAAAGTATAAACATCAGAGCAAATGGATCGATGTACAGCCATAGATCCGAGATAGAAGATAGAATCAAACCCCTAACATTTCACATGCTATTGTTCTTTACCTACGCAGTTTCACTCCTCATTAAATATAAAACATTTCTACTTCACAAACTCCTCCATCTTCTCCTCCTTTAATATTAGCAGAAGAGAAAGTAAAAGTTTAGGCTCGTAAAACGAAGAGAAAAACACAGGAAAACCGAGAATCAAGCCTTTGTGGAAAGTATTTGTTCTTTGTTTATATCTGTGACTTTTTACAATCATGAAGGTGTTTTGACCAAACCAACTGCTTTTATTGAATATGAGTTTGATAGATCTTGTACATATTTCTGTGAAAAGAGTCCAGCAGCTTGGATTGAAACAAACTGGACAAAAAGCAATGAGTCTTGTTTTTCAATAATGTTGACTTTGAATTATTGCTTAGTGCATTCAAGGTTAAATGTTTAAGATAAATAAAACAGTGTTATTGTTTTCTTTACAAAATTAGCTTAAAGGTGATATATAATATGCCATAGTTGCACTGACTCTCAATGGCGGTGCGAAAGGAGCCTATAGGAGGCCACAAAATACTGTTTTGCAGGCTGAAAATGGCCCGTGGGCTGCCTGTTTGAGTTACCAGCCACTTTCTGGAGTAAGTTTGGACATAGAGTCATTTGCCAAAGCTCATGGCCATAGGTGAGGGGGACGATTAGTTTGAGCAATAATTGAGAGCTTTGCCTTCGGACTAATCCTTCTTCCCCACACAATTGTGATACAGCAAAAGTTTCATGAACATCCGTCTCCTGCCAGAGTATTTATTTTGAATATATTTCAAATGTGCACAAACTAAATGGACGATCTTACCTGAGTTGTCTGGTGTCTGTAGAAGTCCATTGTGAGCAGACATCAGCACCAACACACACACTGCACACTTCATTTTTAACTCTTTAAATCTATACGATCTAAAAGTTCAGTTTGAGATAATCTTTCTAAGACCAAACGGTCACTGTTCACGTAAACTCACTGATGGAGGATGTGGCTGCTCCGTTCTCAGAGGAGACTCTTCCTCCTCACCTGTTTATTTGTGGTTCTGAGAATTTCACATCAGCAGAGTCAGTGAGAAGTCTTTATTTAAGTTTTCTCTCAATGTAGTGAAGTAATAGTAAAATCTTTAACTCTTACATTTTATGCACAAATATATAGTTTTCTCTGCTTTAGCTTACAGTAATTTCATCCTGATACAAGTCTATATTAGGATGAAAAAAAGTGCACGGATGTGGATGAGAAGAGTCAGTTGTTGTTTATTTAAGACATTTCTAGTGAAAAAAGGTGAAACTTTAGAACAATAGAGCATCTGAGTTTGAGTGGCTGCCTTCAGGGAGGAGGCTGCGCTCGGTGGAATGTAGGACGCAAAGGAGGAAATCCACTTTGTTTCCAACAGTGATTCAGCTGCTGAAGTCGGACCCGTCATTACCCCAGCGCAGGGTTTAAAAGCTCCAAACATTTACTTAAACAGGATTTGTGTGTGTATGTATTCATGTATTATTTATCAAGATTTTTATCATGTAACTTGCTTTTTAATTGCCCCTTGGGGATAAATAAAGTGATTGATTGATTGATCTGGGACCAAAGTCGGAGCACAGGGAGTCCCAGCCTCTTGCTCTCATTGAGGAGCACAGGGACTGGCCTTCTGTTGGTGTGCAGGGTCAGGACTTAACTTGAAAAACTGAAAAGAACCTTCCTGAAAATGTGAGACAGGTTACAACACTCCTTTTTAGTAGTGCATACCACTGAATGATTTTTTCTACTTTAAGATAATTTTTATATCAACTTTGTTTCTGAATTTTCTTGTGTATGAATTGTGGCTTTAGCTCAGCTTCCTCTCTGTGAGTCCAGGCTTAGTTTAGTATTTCTTTGAGAGGGACAGTGCACAGCAACATTAAGCTCAAAGACAGAAATGTCCTGCACCAGATTAGAGCTCATTTGCATGAAAAATCCCCATCTGCTTTGATTTGGAGCAGAACCTTTTTGAATACATTTAGGTGGCACTTTTTACAAATATATTGCAGATTCTGTAAAAAACCCACAAAAACGAGTCTAACCAGTCTTCTTAGTCTTCTTATTATTTTTATTATGATTCTTGTTCTTGTTCATTATTATATCAGTGACCGAGAGATGGCGCCAGACACCGCCTGATGTGGGGGACGCTCCCAGATGGCGACAAAGTAGTAAGTAGTAGTAAGCTTTATTTATATACCGCCTTTCACAGACCAGAGTCACAAAGCGGTTTACAATTGTTATTTTTTGGGCATTTGTCCTCTCACTCCACACAGAGATGGGAGCGGGGTCGCCGAACAGGAGGCGCATGCCAGACCTATTGTACATATTTTTAGTGGTAGGGGAAACCAGAGTACCCGGAGGAAACCTACGCAGACACAGGGAGAACATGCAAACTCCACTCAGAAAGGCCCTGGTCCGGGCCTTCTTGCTGAGAGGCGAGAGTGCTATCCACTCAGCCACCGTGCCGCCCAAAGGCACATGGACTTGGGTGCGACTTTTTGGAAGCAGAGTCAAAACTCCCTGATTTTCTCCAACATTTTCTGTCTCTCAGTTCTTTGAGAAAACCACAGACTGATGGTTTTATGATAGACTCCTGTTTGTGTCTGACTGTTCTCATGAACCTGGGATTAATCATTGAGAAGAGGCGGAGCGTTTGTTTATTGGCAGCTTCAACAGAACTACAGGAATACTCGTGTGAAATTAACAGGTAAGATCTCAACTTCATCTTACTTCAAAATGTTCTTTAGCGACGTGGTTTCATCTTGTTTTATAGTCTATATGTCTCAATTCCTGCCAAATCTTCTGAATATTTTAGTTTGGTGCGAAATGTGTCCAAACGATTGTAAGTCATGGATGTGTTGTAACTGGGGTGAACTCGTCTCTAACTCACCTGCTGTGAGAGGGAAATGAAGGTGATCTAGTTTGATTTGAGTTACATGTTGTAGGCTACATAAGTGTGAGAGAATACTTTCACTTTCAATTTGAGTCAGTCACAAGACCCTGAGCAAGCCAGCAAAAAAGAGACCTTTACTTTCTTACTTTTTCGTGTATAGCTCTAAATCACAACAGTTGTTATCTCAGAAAACTTTACAAACTGTTGTTTTCGCAAAAACAGATCAGAAAACCAAACAATGATAAGAAAAATGAAATAGCACATCAAGTTATTTGTCCATAAGGAGCAGATGACTAATGTGCATAAATGTTGTTGAATGTCGAGTGTCCTGGACCATCCCCTCTGTCCTTAGACCCTCCTCGGCAAGGGAAAGCTAATACAAAATAAATAAAAACCCAGTGGAAAAAGATGCCACTTTGAGAGAGGCAAGTGTGTATATATAATAAATATAAATATATAAATATATGCATATATGTACGAGAGGTCTTCTCACATTAAGTGTGGTTCTCTTCTTTCATAGATTCCCAGAATGCAGCTGGTGCAACTTTCTGTCCTCTTCCTTGTGCTGACTCACTTCTGCTGGGGTAAGTATTCAGCGAGGCTTTAGCTGCATACAGGATACAACTGTTGATGCACACCCTCTGTGGAACGAAGTCCATCTGGCATGAGGATTTGGAATTTAGATTTTTTTCCGTTTTATTTGGACCCAACTATGACCCTCACATCAACCTTTTCGGCTCAGAGTTTGTCGGCTCATTACATTTGTCACTGTCCATGAAAGCATTCAGACTTTGTCACCTACAGGACCCTTGTCCCGTGGGACACAGCTTCCACCAAACTCTCCCCTCACAGTGTGGAGGTGATATAATTATATAGTGTATGTAAAAAAAACGTAGAATAATTTGGGGTCAATATGATGTATATTGTATAATATATGCATTATAATAATGTATGTGTTGATGTCCTCAGGTCAGTACACAATGGTCACTCGGTCTCAGGTCGTCATGGCGCCCGTGGGCAGTGACATCACCCTGCCCTGTCATGTGGAGCCTGCTGCAGACCTCAGGGAGCAGGTGGTGGAGTGGGCGAGACTGGACCTGACTCCACCATACGTCCACATCAGACGTGACGGTCTGGACCTCCTCATAAACCAGAACCCACTGTATCTGGGCCGGACGGCTCTGTCCGAGTGCTGGCTGCAGAAGGGAGACCTCTCATTGAGCCTGTCCCGAGTGAAGCTCAGTGATGAGGGGACGTACCGCTGTTTCTTGCCCCGAACCAACACTGAGGCTCAGGTCACTCTGCGGGTCGGTGAGTCTGTGAATATGATGATTACATGTAAATATCTTACACAATAACAGTTATCTTCATACTCACTGGAGCTGCTTCTGAATAAAAAAAAAAACATCCCTCTTTGTCCTTCATGTATGAGCTAATAATAACTGAGGTGTAGGAGACAGCGTCTCCTGGCTGCCCGTCAGAGGGCTTCAAATTCAGATTCTGTTCATGACTAGATCGTGCTTCTTTTTTTTGTCCAAGTGAAATGTTTTACAATCTTTGTCCAGTGTCCGTGGCCCCACTCTCGATCAGTGTGGAGAAGGATCCCTCAGGGTCAGTGGTGCTGAGGTGTGAGTCCGTGGGCTGGTCCCCGGAGCCAGAGCTGCAGTGGCTGGACTCAGAGGGGACGGTGGTTCTGAGGGCGGAGGCTCAGAGAGGCAGTGATGATCTGTTCTCTGTGAGCAGCAGGCTGACAGTGCAGCAGACTCAGGGTAACACATTTACCTGCAGAGTACAGCATCAGCCGAGCGGAGCGAGCAGAGAGGCCCGGCTCCACATCAGCGGTGAGTCCTCTCTCCACAGGTTTGTGTTTCTGTGGCCGATGATTTTAAAGAAAAAGGTTTAACTGGCTGATGGTCAATTTGTAAAGAAGAAATATTATGCATTAATTGTGGCCAGTAAACATGATAATAAAACCTTTAACTTTTTAATTCATGTTTTAGAATAGGAGATAGTCTTAGTTGAAAAGATATGTTGAAGCAAGTCTCAGTATACAATGCTATCAGTCTGCCATATCCCTTTGCTACCACCGGGGGTAAGGGGTATGGGTACATTTGTTTCTTCCATAAATTCGGTGATTGTCATTTTTCAGAGGTTATTTGTTTTTGATGGGAATAGTTTTATTTATGTAAAAGAAGAGAAGAGGAATTGTCCCTTGAGATGAATCATCAATCATTGTGTGCACCATGTGCACTTGTATATTGTAAATAGTAACTGTAACTCTATTTTAAATTTAAATTTATTCCTTAGAAGTGTTTTTTATTCTTTATTTTTTATTACCTTCTGACTGTTGCACTGAGCCAAAGCAATTTCCAAGTCTGTGAGTACGGGTCTTCGGCTTGAACTGGAAACCATGCTCTCTGTTGTTATTGCTGTCGTTGATGAACAAACAAATCCCCCCAAATAAGTGTAGTACTTTGTTTTTAACTATTTGTAATATGTACAAGAGTTAAACAGATCTAGGTTCAAGAAGGAGAATAGTAAGCACAACAACTTAGAGTTCTTGCAAAAAAATGTATTCCTTAATACAATGAGAATAAAATAAAATACAAAAAAAAAAGATATTTGTGTATAAAAAAAAATAAAGTGTCCACCCTTTGATCTTATGCTATAATTGTCTGTAAAGTGGGTAGAAATCTCTTCTTTCAATTACTCTCAGTTCAATTTAGTCAGTCAAGTCGTTTTTAGTCAAATGGCCGTATGGTTCCTTTTCACTCTTATCTGGATCTCAAATGTGGCGAGGTGGGTCCCAGTACTCGGGAAGTGTGCCGGTCCCTGAAGGCGGTGGCCCAGGTATGGCAGCGAGCAGCGGGTCCTCACTCGTTGTTTCTCACATCAACAACAAAACCAACCTGCATATCAAACGAACAAATTACAAATAGTTCACATGCAGGTTTTTTCGCATTCTCTATCTTATCAATAACAAGCTTGCATTTGTCTCAAAAAAAAATCAACTAATACAGTTTACAATAAAATAAATATGGCATAGGCCTCATACCACATTGACAGTAAACCACAGTTGATACATCAAAACATCATTTTCAATTATCACAAAGTCACAATTCTCTCCGATTGGTTTTATAGAAAAACAAAATGATAGCTCAAAGGCTAGCGTTAGCTTAGCGAGGTTAGCTACCCCCCCCCCCCCCCCCCCCCCCCCCCCCCCCCCCCCCCCCCCCCCCCCCCCCCCCCCCCCCCCCCCCCCCCCCCCCCCCCCCCCCCCCCCCCCCCCCCCCCCCCCCCCCCCCCCCCCCCCCCCCCCCCCCCCCCCCCCCCCCCCCCCCCCCCCCCCCCCCCCCCCCCCCCCCCCCCCCCCCCCCCCCCCCCCCCCCCCCCCCCCCCCCCCCCCCCCCCCCCCCTGCCTTTAACGCCTCCTCCGGTAACAGTCCTTCGACCCATGTCGAGCACACAGTCTTTCCGCCGGGCTGTGGAAGTTTTTCAAAGTCCGCAGGAGGCCCAGGTAGCCCAAAGCGTTAGCATGTGGTCTGTAGAGTATTGACATCGGTTGCTCTGACATCGTTCTATATGGTCTGAGTCTGTTATGTTGTCTGCCTACGTACCTTGACACTACAGGAAGTGAATGTAACGTTGTTGTTATGCAGTAAAGTCCAAGCCTACAACACGCTGGTATCCCGTGGTCATTTCAGTATCTAACAGTGGCGACGAGGTGGTTGTACAGTGGACCCATGTCTCGGCGATGAGCGATTCTACTGTCTCACAGGAGCAGCATATTGAAACAGACAGTAGTGACTCGGAAGAGAGTGTGCATACACAGCGTGACAAGATGGCGAGAGTTGGATCGATAGACCCGTTTGACAGCACAACGGATGACTGGGTCGAGTATACTGAACGCGTTTCCCAGTATTTTGTGGCAAATGACATAGCAGCGGAGAAACATGTTGCAGTGTTGCTGAGTGCAATGGGGGGAAGATCATACGGCCTGTTGCGGAGCTTGACTGCACCAGATAAGCCATCAGACAAGACTTTTGATGAATTGGTGAAAGTGATGAAAGAACATTTATCGCCAAAGCCGCTACTAATTGCTGAGCGTTTTAGATTCCACAAGCGAAATCAACATGAGGGAGAATCTATTGTTAGTTATGTGGCTGAGCTGAAGAGACTTACTGAGCACTGTGAATTTGCACAGGGACTGGATGATGCGCTGAGAGACCGCTTGGTATGCGGTATTCTGAACGAGGCCATACAGAAGAGACTGCTTACCGAGGATAAGCTCACTTACAAAAGGGCAGTTGAAATCGCAGTCTCAATGGAAACGGCAGCCAGAGATGCCGTTGAACTGCAAACAGGAGTAAAGGCAATAAATGTGAATAAAATGGCAACAGTCCCACAAGAAAGAGAGCATGAACCGTGTTACAGGTGTGGGAGGGGCTTCCATTCCCCTTCACAGTGTAGATTTAGGGATGAAATCTGCAGACTATGTAACAAGACAGGGCACATTCAGAGAGTTTGTCGCTCAGGAAAGTCAAGAGTGAATAAAAGTGAGAGGAAGACGCAGTGGAATGTACACAAGAACAAGAAAGTGTACAATATAGAGGAAACTGCAGGTGAGGAATCGGACGAAAGTGAACATACAAACTGCTTGGATGTGTACCATGCTAAAGGTGGTGGCCGGGAAGCGATCTGGCTCACACCCCAGGTGAATGGAAAACAAGTGAGGATGGAACTGGATACCGGCTCTGCAGTGTCAGTGATGGCGCACAGTGACTTTGTGCAGTACTTTGGAGACCAGAAGCTGAACTCGTCATCTGTCCTCCTAAAGACATATACTGGAGAGAAAATCAAGCCCCTCGGCGTATTGCCGGTGGAGGTACAACACAATGGCCAACAATGCACATTGGACTTGTACATTGTAAAAAGAGGAGGACCAGCACTGTGGGGCCGAGACTGGCTGAGGAAATTACAGCTGGATTGGAAGTCCATTAAAAGCCTGCAGGTGGCGCCAAACACCACCGACAAGTCCACAGAGGTCAAATTGGAGACAGTCTTGGTGGCTGCAACGCCTGTATTCCAAGATGGAATTGGGACATTAAAAAACATAAAGGGCAAAATTGTTCTTCAAGACGGGGCCATTCCACGTTTCCACAAAGCACGGCCAGTTCCGTACGCCATACGACAGAAGGTGGAAGCGGAGCTGGACCGCCTAGAGGCCGACGGAATCCTGTCTAAAGTTGACTGGAGCCCATGGGCCACACCCATTGTCCCAGTAGCAAAGAAGTCAGGGGCAGTGAGGGTGTGTGGGGACTTCAAAATCACAATCAATCCTGTGCTACAAGCAGAACAATATCCACTTCCCAGGATCGAGGACATTTTTGCAAACCTGGCTGGTGGAAAGCGGTTCACCAAGGTGGACCTGGCGGAGGCCTATCTACAGATGGAGATAGAGGAAGACTCGAAGATGTTCCTGACCATCAATACTCTGAAGGGCTTGTACCGCTACAACAGGTTAGTGTTCGGAGTGGCCTCAGCCCCGGCTATCCACCAAGGTCAGGTCCAGGGTGCTGGAAGAGTTACACAGTGGTCATCTGGGAGTGGTGAAGATGAAGGCACTCGCCAGGAGCTATGTCTGGTGGCCAGGGATTGACCAACAGATAGAACAGCTCGCAGCACATTGTCCTGGGTGCCAGCGTGTACAGAACGAACCGACAGTGGCACCCCTCCATACATGGGAATGGCCCACATCGCCATGGCAACGGATACACATTGATTTCGCCGGGCCATTCATGAATAAAACATTCCTTGTAGTGGTCGATGCATGTTCAAAGTGGCCAGAAGTGTTCGCCATGAAATCCACGACAACAGCCAACACAATCGACGTGTTGAGAGGTCTCTTTGCTAGAACTGGTATCCCCGAACAGTTGGTGAGTGACAATGGTCCTCAATTCACAGCTAGTGAATTTCAGATGTTTATGAAGCTGAATGGAATCCGCCACATAACATCAGCTCCCTACCATCCGGCTACTAATGGGCTCGCCGAGAGGTTCGTACAAACTCTAAAACAAGGTCTGCGAGCCTTTGCGGATGCACTCATTTCTCTTCAGCAGAAGTTAGCCAACGTCCTGTTTGCCTACCGTAACGCCACTCATGCTACTACTAACCGAACCCCTGCCATACTGTTCCTGGGACGGGGGCTGCGCTCAAGACTGGACCTGCTAAAGCCGAACCTGCGACGGACGGTAATGGATCGTCAGATCAAGCAGGGTAAAGGGACTCACAATAGAGAAACGCGTCAACTGGAAATTGGACAGACTGTGCTTGCCAGGGATTACCGTGGAGAACACAAGTGGATTCCCGGTATAATCAGAGAGAGGCAAGGGCCCTTGTCCTACACCGTAGAAGTAGCTCCGGACACTATCTGGCGACGCCACCTTGATCAACTACGGGGGTCAGAGGTACGCACTGCAGCGGAGATGGTGGATCCTGCTGCTTCATTCATCGCTGCTCAGGGGGACCTGAGCCTGCCAACTGCCAGCGCTACTCCAGAGACCATGAGCCTGCCTAGCTCCACCGCAGGCCAAGACAGCCGGAACCTGCAAAGCTCCGACAGCGACATGGGGTGTCTGCCAAGCCCTGGTCCGCCCCTGACCCCACGCATTGGTCTCCCTAGAGCTGGGGCGAGCCCGGCGGTTACACCTGAGAGACGTTATCCAATGCGTACTCACAGACCTCCCAAGAGACTATCCCTTTAAGTAAACTGCTGTTGCATTAGTATCACTTTAGTTCTATTTTAAGTGGTAAAGGTTATACTGCTTACTGTACTTGTTATCTAGAAAAGGAGGAGTTGTAGAGTATTGACATCGGTTGCTCTGACATCGTTCTATATGGTCTGAGTCTGTTATGTTGTCTGCCTACGTACCTTGACACTACAGGAAGTGAATGTAACGTTGTTGTTATGCAGTAAAGTCCAAGCCTACAACACGCTGGTATCCCGTGGTCATTTCAGTATCTAACATGGTCCATGAGGGTTGGTGAATAACCCAAACGTGCCGGTCACAATGGCTTCTTCTGTTTGCGGTGCGGGAACAACTTTCAAGGGGGTTTCCGCGGGTGCGTTTGGTATATCACGCTGCCCCCTCCGTGGAGAACAGTCACGGGATTTGGAGCAGTTTCTCTCTGTGCTCCAAAGCAGTTGTCGGTGTCTCACATATTTGTTTCCCTCGCTTCTTCTTCTGTGGTTTCCTGAGCGTGTGTCTGTTTCCGCCTCTTCTTCTTCTGCGGTTTGGGCCCACTTCTCGCGGGGTCTCAGCTGGTGCGGGCGCCGCCTGTGGTTGGGGCGTGGGGCTGGTGCTTTGAGGCAGAGGACAGAGCGCGGAGGAAAGGCGCCGACAGACCTGGATAGGGAAGAGGGAAAAGAGACAACAGTAGTCTGCTTCATTTTTTAAAAACCCAACGCCTTGTTTGGGCGCGTACTTAGCATGGAGTTCTGCTCCTAGTGTGAAAGGGTTAGTAGGTGAGAGAGGGCGTGTGTGTGCGCCTGTGTGTTCTCCGCTTTGGTGAAAGGCGGAGGAGCTATTGTTTTTACATATTTCTTTCTCTAACCTCTTTTGCCGTGATATTCTTAAAACCAAGTATATTTTTTTTCTTCCCTTCTTCTTCTAAATTATCACGCAGATGACCTGCACCATAGGCAAGCACTTCATAGCTTGCATCTGTAGATTGATTTTACCCATTTTCTCGTACGAACAATGGGCCTAACCCGCTTAGTCTCTCCCTGCTCTTACCCACTTTGGGGCGCTCCGTTCCCCCCCCCCGCTGGTTCAACCAGCGAGCGCGGCGTTCTTGAAAACGGAGCGGTTCTGGCTGAAGACACTCAGAGATTCCAGGGTCGCTTACAATGCGATACTAACGCGCAGCCGCTAGCTTCAATCTAGAACAAAAAGCCCCCCAAAAAATCCCGCACACAGACTATGCTGTGGCAATGAATGAAATACCCCAAAAATACATAAATAAACAAATCCCCGTGTCGACTTAAGGGCTGCCCTGGGCTCGTTACGCAGATGAAAAGACAAGACTCACCAGATTAGGTTCTTTTTGGTCTTGTGTGGCAAAAGGATTCCTTCCGTGCGCGGGACGAGCGCGCCCTCCTTTGTCTCCAAAAAGGAACAGAGGCTGGTGATCCAGGTCGGCCAAACAAAGCCGCTCGTCCCCGCCGAAAGTATCCATGCCAAGACATGTCAGCAACGCCAAATTGTTAAGGAAGTTTCTACCCAATGAAGGAGAAAACTCAAAGGTCTTTGTTCTGATCAAAAGCGTAAGTTTATTGTTAACATACGTACGGAGAGTCAGCACATACACAAGGCAGCATGTACTAGCTCTGAGGGCAGAGCCCCAAGTTTCCTGTATACAAGACACACACGAGAGACAGTCCCGCCCACAACAGATTGGAGGGGGCCACCCGTGAGGAGGCGCATGGGGAGCGTTTGGCGCCGTCTGGGAACGAGGTGCGAACAGACAGACAATGGTCTAAATGCAGGTCATACAGATGCAAGACACGGAAGACACAAGGGTGTGACAGACAGCAGGACGTAGAAGATGCACACATACAGACCGATAGATATGCAAGAGGCGAAAGGCACAAGGGTGTGACAGGCAGCAGGATGTAGAAGATGCACACATACAGACCGATAGATATGCAAGAGGCGAAAGGGAGGACAGTGATTTGCGCCATTGTCTGTAGGTGTCGGGGGGGGCCCGGCTCCTTCCTGGAACAGGGACATATGACATATGAATAGACACAGGCAGGGTTGCATGAATACTAGTCGCTTGCCATCACACTCCCCAACACTGTGGACTAAGAGGGCGCCGAGCAGCCCCGCTTATTGCAGTGGGAGGCCCCTGGGAAGAGGGCTGGGCCCTAGCTGCGGCCCTAGGCCCTTTTCCGGGTGTCTGCGTGAGGGCAGGTGTGCTGCGCTTACGTGGAGCCGGGCCCCAGCTCCCCAACACTGTGGACTGAGAGGGGGCCGAGCAGTCCCACTTATTACAGTGGGGGGCCCCTGGGAAGAGGGCTTGGCCTTTTTCCAGGTGGCCGCGTAAGGGCAGGTGTGCTGCGCTTACGTGAAGCCGAGCCCCCGCTCCACAACACTGTGGACTGAGAGGAGGCCGAGCAGTCCCACTTTTTGCAGTGGGGGGGCCCCTGGGAAGAGGGCTGGGCCCTAGTTGCGGCCCAGGGCCCTTCTCCGGGTGGCCGCGTGGAGCCGAGCCCCCGCTCCCCAACACTGTGGACTGATAGGGGGCCGAGCAGTCCCACTTTTTGCAGTGGGGGGCCCCTGGGAAGAGGGCTGGGCCCTAGCTGCGGCCCTGGGCTCTTTTTCTGGGTGGCCACGTGAGGGCAGGTGTGCTGCGCTTACGTGGAGCCGAGCCCTCGCTCCCCAACACTGTGGACTGAGGAGGGGGGGGAGAGCAGTACCACTCATTGCTCTGGATAGTGGGGGGCCGCTGGAAAAAGGTCTGAGCCCTAGCTGCGGCCCTGGCTTTTACCGTGTAGCAGCGTGAGGGCAGGACAGCTGTGAGCTGGCGCTCGTGGCGCACAGAGAGCGGTAGCGTGCAGCCGCGCACTCTAGAGGCAAAAGGCACGGGGAGCGCACAGCGGTCCCGGAGCATGCCTCCAGCGCGCGCACGAGAGGCGCGCTGAGAGAGGCTCCAGGCACTTGGCAGATGAGCAGCGTTGGCCAAGCGCTGAGGATAAGGAAAAGGGGAAAGAAGTGTTCTGTTTGAGGGAGTGTTTCACACCGCACGCCGAGCGCAGAGCCGAGCGCCCTTTCCAGCCGAACTACCTCGCGGCGAGCGCATGTATTCAGACTGAGGCCTGTTTCACACCGCACACGAATTCGTGAACGAATTCGTCTTCGAAACCCGCTCGCGTGCATTCGCAAGCTGCGCTTCAAGTCGCGTCCTGTTGTGCAAATGAGAAAGCTCTTCTGTGTACAGACCGGCGCTGAGGCGGCGCGCAGGGAATCGGCGCGCGCCGCTGCCGCCTCCGCTCCTGAAACCAAAAATGGAACTCGAGCGCATTTTTTCCGCGTGTAGGCTGCGCAGCGAAGCGGCTTTCAGCACGAAAATATTCAAAAAATAACTTTTATAAAGCAATTTCACGTTTATCTAATCTCATTATTGTAATGCATAAGTACAAATAAGTTTATTCTTTTAATTACACACTTTTCCATGTCATACTTTTTTTTTATGCATAAAATATAATTGTAACATATATTATATATATAATAATATATATATATATATATATATATATATATATATATATATATATATATATATATATATATAATATATATATATAATAATATATATAATAATATATATATATATATATATATATATATATATATATTATAATTATAACCTAACCTTAACCCCCATGGAGATCCAGGCCGCCCCCACGCCTGCACATAGCCCCCCTGGAGATCCAGGCCTTCCCCACACCTAACCTTAACCCACATGGAGATCCAGGCCTTCCCCACACCTAACCTTAACCCACATGGAGATCCAGGCCTTCCCCACACCTAACCTTAACCCACATGGAGATCCAGGCCTTCCCCACACCTAACCTTAACCCACATGGAGATCCAGGCCTTCCCCACACCTTATAATTAACTATGATAATGAAACGACAATCAAAATAGGCTATAAGATACATTATAAGGAAATGTTAGCAATTTATTTAAGGTCTACATGTGCTATTTTGATTTCTGACCTGTTATTTCAGACAACATATGTAAATATACAACATGTTTATTAGTTTGGAGTACAATACTACTCCTTTTGTGCGTGCTACTCGTCTAGGCGCTTCGCCCACGCTCGGCGTCAGTCTGAATACATGCGCTCGCCGCGAGGTATGTTCGGCTGGAAAGGGCGCTCGGCTCTGCGCTCGGCGTGCGGTGTGATGGCCTTATTAAAGCGTTTCCCTCCCCTCCTTGCAGCTGCAAAGCCGGGGTGGCTGCTGCTCCTCTGCCGGGGTGGCTGCTGCTCGCTCTGTCATCCTGCGGTGCAGGGTGGCAGAGCGGTCCCTGTCCGAGGGATGCAGCGAGGAGAGTAATGTTATAAGCCATAGCAACGACCTATGATGCACAAGCCTAACACCTGTCAAGCATGGACACGGCCGGCTTGCCCCGCTCGGGGGGGGTGCCAGTCCAGACCCCGTAGGAAGCTGGTGTACAGGCGTACTCCATCCTCTATGGGAGGAAAACCTGACCGCCAAGGCCAGGCCTCCACACCCGCGTATACTCCATACGCTATAGCGCCGGGGAATGGGCTGTCATGGGCCTATCCCCTCGCGGCTGATTGATGGCGCTTTTCCACAGCACCAGCACTACACCACTCTACACGACACGTCACGACCCGGTCGAGTACGCGTGCTTTTCCACATATCTCCATCGGACATCTTCAAGTGGGTGGGCTTTTCATACCACCGCTACCGTTACGTCATTTCCGCTACCGTTACGCCATTTCCGCGCGACTCACGAGCATGAAACCAGGAAAAACATTACATCCTCAAACAATGGAGGACTCCGACACGATCGTGGTGTTGCTGCTCTCTCTGTGGCTACTAGTCACAAATAGACTGAAAAGCCTGAGAAGAATCCAGGCGGCGAGACACCAAAGAATGACGAAGTTATTGAAAACCTTGCAGGAGTTTGCAGTTGAGGACAGGAGACAACGAGCTGAAAAAAGACGG